CTGCGATGGTCTTATTGCAAGGACAGTTTCAGATCATCCTGGACCAGTTGGCCCATGTCTTTTCCTACTTCACGGCGATGTGTTGCAGGGGCCTGCTGCACTTATCCTCATGGGAAAGCAGATTTAGGACAGACCTTTTTTCGTTAGCCATGGTCGGGCAGGGCACTCTTTAACGGAGATCAGAGATGTTGCCTCCAAAGTGGGGCAAGATGCTCATCTGCAGTCTCGGTAGAACTGTTGAAGTTCCAGCGGTTGTTGGTTGAGGACTCATTATGTACATGACGGCCAGCTCGTTATGTACCGGCTAATCTTGATTTGCGGTCAGGAGCTCCTACTTCCTTTTGGGGGAGAGGTTCGGGCAGAGGTCGTGCCAGCCGTCATCGTCGAACCTTCACGTCTTCCAGACCTACCCATGGTTCCAATCAGTCCTCCTGTCAGCAACCCAACAAGCCGTGACTTGCTGATATCAGAACACGACGAGAACCTTCCGCCTCCAGTCGTTCCTATCACGGGGTCCCCAGTAGGCGGAAGACTTGGGATTTCTGCTCTCAATTGGACCATTTTGGATGACCCTTACGTGCTCTCCCCTGTCTCCAAGGGGGTATCAGCTTCCGGTCATCGACAATCCTCCTCTCACCTTACTTCCGGATCGCAGGACGTATCCCACACGTCTGACGGCTGTGCTGCGGTCCACAATAGCGACGTTGCTGCAGAACTTCACGAATCCTTGAATCCTGAAACCAGGGTTTTACCTCAATCTTTTTGGTACGAAGGTTCTACTCTGAATCTTTTGAGTGTTTCTACGCCTCATACAGCTTTTGTATGGTGTCGTTGGCTCTAATCAAGACTATCATCAAACTGGGGGATTACATGATCAGTCTCGACCTTCAGGATGCATACCTTCACATCCTGTTATTCCCGAACCATCGCAAGTTTCTTCACTTCGTCTTCGAGGGCACCCATTATCAATGGCGTGTCCTCCCGTTTGAAATTTCTTCGGCCTGTGGCTGTTTACCGCGGATGGCCGGAATCCATCACAACAGCTTATTCCATCGCGAGGTATGCTTCAAGCATATATTGGCAACTGTATCCAGGCTCAGAGTGACCGTGCCCTTCTACTACGTCTCATGCAGTTCACGATGCAGCTACTTCACCAGTTAGGTTGGCTGATCAATATTTAGAAGTCGGAACTAGTCCTGTCTCTTGCCGCCTGCAGTTTATCGAGGTGCGGTGTTGACCACAGGAGCTCAACAGATTGTTTGTGCCGAAGGATCAGTTTGCCAAGATCCAGCGGTTAGTTCCCCTTGCGTTATCTCAACCCAGGACTCTTCGTCTATGGCAGGAGCTTCTGGGTCTCTTGACATCGGCCCAAGCGTTGACCCTCAGGGGTCAACTTCAACTTTGGCCTTTGTAGCTATTCTTGGCTCCACACTTCAGGGTGGGCGGTCTGCTGTCTCTGATCATTCTTCCTCTGGAACTCCTTTCAAATCTCCTATGGTGGATGGAAGAGTCGAATGTCTGGGGTGGAGTTTGTTTTTTGTTAAAGTCCCGACTCTCCACCTGTGCGAGTCATCTCTACATGGGTTTGGAGCTCATCTTCTCGATCAGCAGGTGGCAGGGCAGTGGTCTCTCATAGATCTCGCCCCCCACATCAACAATCTTGAGATCAGGGTGGTGATTCTGTCCATCACTCATTAAGCAAGCACATCTACGATCGACCTCATTCGGTCGGACAGCGCACAGCACCGGTCGTGTGGCACAATGGGATCAACTCCTCAACTCCTGCAGTGGACAACTGTTTTTTTCCAGTTGGTGGACAAGCTCAACCTCTCCGTTCGGGCCAACCCTATTCCAGGAGTGAAGAATGTCATTCGCGGATTAAGCTGTCCCCTCCACTTCGTCCCTATCCGACAGAGTGGAAGCTACACCAACAGCTACAGACCCTCTGTTTTCCGCTGGCAGCCGAAGCCAGCTAAGCACTCTTGGCTTCAACCACCTGCTGCCTCTGGCTTGAGATCCGCGGCAATCTCTTACCTCCTGTGGAATGACCCAAGCGTCATGGCGTTTCCTCCAGTGCCCTTCTTCCACACTTACTACTGTAACTGCGCACAACTCCAGCGGATGACACTGCTTTGGTCAGCGACCGCCTGGCGGCCAGGGTGGTTAAAGTAGATCTACAAGTGGAATGGCGAGCCCGATCCTGTACGTACCTCTTCCAGATACATGGCGATCTTCTGGTTTCACCAATACTCCGATCACCTGGCGTTGGTTCCCAATCGCGCTCCATCTTCCGCGTTTGGCATCAACATAAGTTAGGTTGACGCCAAGGATATCGAAGCCGGTAATTCGACGCCATCAATACAGCGCATCGCACTTCCACTAGGTCTCTCTAAGATAACAAGTGGAAGAAATTTGAAGCATCCTACAGGACGAAGGGTATAGCTTCTTAACCATTGCAGGTGGTTGCAGAGTACCTCCAACATCTTCGAACCACCAAGAAGTTGAAGGGTTCTACACTGTCCACTCCCTTGGCTGCTCTTAACACCGTTATTGCACAGGCCTCAGGTGTGAAGGTATCTACAGTTCCAGGTCGTTTAAGCTTGTTGATCAGTCACCGAAGTTCCACCCTCCAGCTTGGGACCTCTCCGTCGCGTGCTTAATCATCTTACGTCAGCGGACTACGAACCTTCGGAGGAGAAGGTCTTTGAACATGTCTCCTTAAGACCTCCCTTTTCATGGCTTTGGCTACTGCTGCACGAATCTCCGAGCTACACGCCCTCAACATATCCCGAGTGCGTTTTGGGAGGTCAAGACATGCTAAGCTTTCCTTGGGGTTAGTTGGACTTTGTGGCCAAGAATCAACTACCTGGTCAGCCGGACCGCACATTTCCGGTCCCGCCACTGTCCTCTATATTGGGTCATGATGACACAGAAAACGTTTCCCTATGCTCTGTTCGGGCATGGCATGTATACCTGGCTGCTTCTAAGGACCGACTTAGGCAAGAGACTCTTCATCCCATTGTCTACTGCCTCAACCTCAGAAGTCTCTCCTACAATCCTACGTGCCTACTCTTATGCAGACCTTCCTCCACCCACGATGGCGAATCCTCGTGAGACCCGGGCCTTAGCATCTACCATGGCGTTTCATCGGAACTGCTCCCTTCCAGCTATCCTAGAGGGATGCTTCTGGAGATCGGACACAGTCATCGCCTCACACTATCTTCACGATCTCAGTTATAGACGTGGAAGGTCTGCACCAGTTTGGTCTTTTGGTCCTAGCAAGTATCGACCCGTGCTCACAGATAAGAAGCAATCCTTTCTCGCGTCGGTCTTGCTTTGTGTACCTGGAAGATATCGATGTCATCTTTATCTTGGTGCTTTTGGGCATAGACCACCTGACCTAGGCAACTAGGGCGTGTTCGCACTGTCATAAGCTATGACTCGATAGACTGAGAGGCCAGTCTTGTGCTACATGCAGAGGTGGTCGACACTCCGCTTACTGACCTCTACTCCTCGAGCAATCACGTCAGTGAAGTGTTGATTTCCGATTACCAACATGGTTTTCGAAGCGTTCCGCTCCTAAGTCCTTTCTCGCCTCTGGGAGGGAGATCGGTACTGAACGTTAAACAAGTCGAGCAACCGGGCTCTTCCCTCTTTCTCCGTCTCCAGCGCGTGTCTGTGGGGGGTAGTTCCAAAGCAGGGACTGGCCAGATTAAGGTCTTCAACTTTAATTCACTGGGGTCACTTACCAAACTGCATCCTTTTGCTTGTCAAAAGTTGCGGCTGAAAACCACATTAATTCGGGAGTGCCCACTCCCTAGAGTTTTTGTGCGGAGTAAGCCAAGGGATATCCGAAGCAACCCATCACAAGTTCTGAGTTAGCATATTGGGAGTTGGTGCTTTCTCCTGGCTTCCTTGTGTTATGCGACCTCATGGTTGTAGAGTCACACGGGGTAATCTGCGGCCCGCCATCCAACCGTGCGATAATGCATAGCGTGAGATAGGATAAGTTTAAAATTTGGAAATTTTAACATAAATTGTATCTTTATATACTTATCCTATCTCACGCGAAGGATACCCGCCCGACCTGCCCCACATCACAGATTACTGGGAGCTCCAAGACGAGAATGACTAGGGCAGGCTGTCAGGTTATCATCGAAGTGATCTGCACGCTTATGGAGATGATTGACAGGTCCTGCTATGGAGTGGGTCAGAGGTCAGGGGTCAGAGGCCAGAACGTTTGATTCAACTTAGCCTACAGGGCCCCGTTCCTCAAAGCGATCGTAGCGCTAAGGTGATCGTAACTCCCATACTTTAACATAGACTTACGACTGTCGTAACGCTACGATCGCTTTGAGGAAAGGGGCCCAGCACGTTTCCACACATGGTCGTACAGAAGAAGAGAGGTGCATAGCGTGAGATAGGATAAGTATATAATATACAATTTATGTTATAATTTCCAACACTGTTGTAATAAAGGAACAAGTGACTCTATCCTACTTGCGTATTTTTCTCCACATAAGTATTAACATATTTAAGATAATACTGTTTTGAAAAAAAGTTGTGTATCGTTTTGTATCGATACACCAGTCAGCGATATGATAGCTGTATCAACCGTCAAACTAAAATGTATAGTGATGTATCGGTGCATCAGTGAATCGTCCCAGCCCTAATAGTTACTATAATGCATGTGTCTAATAACGCGAGGGGTCATCCATGGACCCCAAACCCGCGTTATGGCGAGGGATGACTGTATCTGTGTTGTTTCTCTTATATATTGATGGGGTCGGTAGGGTAGCCTAATTGTTAATGCATTAGCTTGTCACACTGAAGACCCGGGTTCGATTCCCCACATGGGCACAATGTGTGAGGCCCATTAATGATGTCTCCACCGTGTAATTGCTGGAATATTGCTACAAGCAACGTAAAACTATACTCACTCTCTGTTATTGATAATACCAACAACAGAAGATTTAATTTTCATGTATTCTTTTGTAAAGGTTGGAACCGATCCTTGCTCGTATACAAGAAAACCGGAAGACGGTGGTGTGTCCGATAATTGATGCCATCAACGACAACACACTGGAGTATTCCGGACAGGGGGGCTACAACGTGGGTGGGTTTTCCTGGAGTATGCACTTCACCTGGAGAGACATCCCGGAGAGGGAGAAAGTTCATCGGAAATACACAGACCCAATCAGGTGAATATTGTTCATTGTGTAGACTGATAGATCATAGTGTCAATCAATGGATTGTCTGGTCCAGACTCAGTTATTTATGGAATACATTTAACAAAGGCAAACATTGGCATTAAACAACCAATGAAAAAATGTATTGTTCTCCTCTATCCCTGGGCACACCAGAAACCTATATTGTGGGTTCGAATCCTTTATTGTCCCATTTTCGTCTGCACCAAACTCCTGCCTCCAAGATGCATCGGGGTAGCCTAGAGGTTACAGCTTTCGCTCGTCATGCCGAAAACCCTGGTTCGATTTCCCACATGGGTACAATGTGTGAGGCCCATTAATTATGTACCCACCGTGATATTGCTGGAATATTGCTACAAACAACGTAAAACTAAACTCACTCACTCTTACCTCCCTGCCTTCAACCTTTGGCTAGCAAACTGCAGTTGGTAGAATAGTATTCATTACAGGTAGAATGACTGACAAGTTCTGAGCCTCACACAGAAGGAAGTGCATAGCGTGAAATCTTTTGTTGGGGACATCAGTGTTGGGAATTGGTTATAATCTCATAATTGACGATCGGTTCATTACAACCGATCAATCATCGAAAATAATTGATTAGCGTCATTTATCAAATTTTCCAGGTTATGTTTGTTAACGCACCAAAAATATAGAAAAACATGCAGTTCTTTCGAGTATTTTGCAAATTGCACAAAACACATTTGCAAATTTTACATCTTTAAAGGTTGACTAGTTTGTTAGGAACATACATTTCCTGGAGTCTTTAAGATAAACTCAATCCTGACTTGGAACGAGCTTGTAGTGCTTATGAAATGTAACAGACAAAACCAACCTTGTGAAAAATATTGTTTAAGCAATACAGTGTTCCCAAATTGTTTATTTTCGATTATGAGAAAACATGATCGATTGCTTGGTCGTTTAGTCATTGCGAACAATCTTCGATTATTTCAATTAATCGGACCACCACTAGTGGACATTACAGACGTAGAGGTTTATCCACAAACACTTGAGTGAGCTGAGACAGTAAACCGTTGTTCTCCTGTGACAGTTCAGTAAAGTATGCAGGTTTCTGTGATGTTTGAAAATGGAGAATCTTTAGTATTCTGATGTGGTCACAGAAAACAATCTGAATGCCTCAAGCCGTTCATGTAGATATGAGTACAAGATTAGGGAAGACGTCCTTTCTTCAAACCTCTAGTCTTGTCTTGTCCTGACTTCATGAATATATTACATATTCGTGTCATTAATCATTAAGCTTTTCCGTATACACAGCTCCCCGACAATGGCTGGAGGCTTGCTGGCGCTGGACAGGAAGTTCTTCTGGGAGATCGGAGCTTATGATGACGGGATGGACGTGTGGGGAGGAGAGAACCTCGAGATCTCCTTCAGAGTAAGTTGAGGGACTTTCGCTTATCATGTCCTTCTGTACATGGCAGTTGTTGGCCGTAGGCTATTGATTCATAGGTTTAGTTTTTGAAGTGAATCTCTAAACAACTGTCATCTTCATTTTGTTTTCTTTATGTCTAATATTTGTTGAAATGGCAATACTTTTTTCTCAGTGAAATTATTTTATGGGCCATTATCTGTAAACCGAAGTTATTAAAATTATTGATTTAAGTGACCACAGTACTTTGGTACCTAAAATGAAAATAAATCAACGTGATGCCAAACTACTGCCAGACAAATGGTTAATCAACTGTTCTGTGTTCCAGACCTGGATGTGTGGGGGCCGGCTGGAGTTTCTACCGTGTTCCCGTGTCGGTCATATCTTCCGTTCCAGTCATCCCTATACATTCCCAGGTAACCATGGCGATCTGAGTGAATTCTTTGTTTGGTTTGTTGTTTAATGCTGTACTCAGCCATTTTCCAGTTATATGACAGTGGTCTGTAGCTAAATGAGTCATGAGCAACAATGTACTCAGTTTGGCTCAAGGGCATCAATCAAGACTTGATGGTCATGATGTCAGTCACCAGATTGTCTGGCCCGACAGGACGTCATGAGCAACTATCTACTCAGTTTGGCTCAAGGGCATCAACCAACACTTGATGGTCATGATGTCAGTCACCAGATTGTCTGGCCCGACATGACGTCATGGGCAACAATGTACTCAGTTTGGCTCAAGGGCATCAACCAACACTTGATGGTCATGATGTCAGTCACCAGATTGTCTGGTCTAGACTGGATTATTCACAGACTGCCATGACAGTAGTTTGACATTAGTGGCTGGTGTGTATTTGGTTGTAGAGAGTGGACATGCTGCTTGGTATCTTTTGTCCAGACTCGAGCATGCATGATACATTCAACTGTTTTAACATAAGAACACTCACTCACTCACTCACTCACTCACTCACTCACTCACTCACTCACTCCTACTCACTCACTCACTCACTCACTCACTCACTCACTCACTCACTCACTCACTCACTCACTCACTCACTCACTCACTCACTCACTCACTCACTCACTCACTCACTCACTCAATGTTTGTTCAAGCAACTTGGTCATTAAGATCAGATGTGATGTCAAAGCATTTTGAATCTTTAGACTATCTGGAAATCAGTTAAATGTTTGTTGTTACTGAAAGCAGATTTTGAAAATATATGTCTTCTTCTTCTTCTTCTCTTCCTCCTCGTCCTTCTTTCCCTAGTGTGATATTGCTGGAATATTGCAAAAAACGGTGCTAGCAGTGATCCTTCTTCTCCTTCTCCTCATCCTTCAACTTTTCCTCCTCTCCTCCTCCTCCTTCTCTCTTCCTCATTTTCCTCTTCTTCTCCTCTTTTGCTCCTTCTCTCCTCTTCTTTTCCTCCTATTCTTCTCCCTCCTTTTCCTCCTCTCCTCTTCCTTTTTCTCCTGTCGTCTTCCTCCTATTCCTCCTCTCAATTTCTCCCCTTCTTCTTCCTCTCCTTTTTTCCTTTTCCTCCTCTTCCTCTCAATTTCTCCTCTTCCTCCTCCTCTTCCTCTCCTTTTCCTCATCTTCTTCCTCTCAATTCCTCCTTTTCCTCTCCTTTTCCTCCTCTTCCTCTCAATTCCTCCTCTTCCTCTCCTTTTCCTCCTCTTCCTCTCAATTCCTCCTCTTCCTCTCCTTTTCCTCCTCTTCCTCTCAATTTCTCCTTTTCCTCCTCCTTCTTCTTCTTTGCTGTGGTTTGCCCCAGTGAGATATTGCTGGAATATTGCTAAAAGCAGTGTTAAAAACAGCTCACCCACTGCTCACCATTAGTGCAAAAATAAATGTAGATAATGTATTTCAGCAATACTGATACTAACCTTTTTATTCAGGCGGCAAGGACACTCATGGTTTAAACTCAGTAAGGGTGGCCGAGGTCTGGATGGACGATTATAAAAGGCTGTTCTTTATGCACAGACATGACTTGAGGGTAAGGTATTGTGTGGAAGGGTTATTATACTTCAGTTCGTGACTTTCCCTTTTTTCTGATGCTAATGTCGGCTGATTATCAGGGTTTGATCTTCATTGGCCTGAGGTGACAGAATTTTAACATGACCAATAAAACACAAAATGAAAGGCAATATAACCTGAGGCTGAAGATGATATCTAAAAGTTTCAATATGAAAATCATGATTAAAAGTCGGCCTGACCTGGCAAGGTGTATATTCAACTGCTCCGAATCTAACCTCCCGTTTCGTATCTTGTTGTTGATGAGGCAGTTGGGTCTGAATATGATACCGACACTGTTGTGTCGAACTCTGATGTGTTCAGCTGACCATTGTCTCGAAGTAAAATATTGTCCCCATCATAGTCTCCGAATATATAAAATTGTGAATGAAACCAACAATTTCTTTTAGATAGAAAAGGAGCCCCTGTGAGAAGGGAGATTCAGAACCTGAGGAAATCTAGACTTACTTCATTTAGAGCTTTAGCATTGCAGAAAGGGCTGGGCAGAAGGGAAAATGATGCAGTTCAGGGACTGTGAGACAGAATCTCGAAGTAACAGCTTCGGTCCCAGGTCAGAGGCCAAGATAAGCTGCGTATCCGGGTAAAATACGCATAGAATTACGCATTGAAAAATAATTGTTGCGTACCAATTACGCATTTAAAATGTTAGATACGCAAAAGTTTAAAACAAATGCGAACGGAATATATTTATAAAAATCACTTGCATAATGAAAAAGACATCAATTGCTATCAAGTTGTACTGTTAGTATAGGACTAGTGTTGTACTGTCAGTAAAGGATAAGTGATTTTTTATGAAATAATTTCCATTATATTTAAGTTGGTTTTGATTAGGTATGACATAAGGCAGAACATACCTGTTTAGTAAACTTACTCAATGACGTAATACTTAGGTGAGTAAAGTGACTGAAATACGCACATATTTGAAAGCAGTGGGTAACGGGAAATGAAATACCCACTCAACATTCATAATACCCACTCCCAAAAATACAGTGGGTACAGTACCGACATGAGCTAAATCTTATCTGGAGGTCTGCCAGGTCCTTCGGTCCCCGGTCCCAGTCCCAGGTCCCTTTTAGGCATCATTTTGCGTTTGTGTGGAACCTCGGGTAACTTGAAGTGCTTATGTAGGTCCCGTCAACTTTCATTTGACTGTGCATAAAATTCACGATTTATAAGTCAGTCTAACCTTGCACGGTGTACTGTGTTGTAGAATAAAGACTTTGGTGATATATCTGCCCGAGTTGATCTCAGGAAGAAGCTGCAGTGCAAGAGTTTCAAGTGGTTCCTGGACAACGTGTACCCAGAGAAGTTTGTTCTGGATGAGGACGTCCTAGCCTGGGGTTTGGTGAGTACGAGTTCAGTCATGTGCTTCAGTAGAGGGACAGGATATTTGATAGTCGGAGGGGAGATTCAGTAGGGCTCCAATGTATCCAATATGAGGTGAATATAAATCATTCACTTTATTGTTATTAAACATACTTTATTGTCCCAAAGACAAAGGGATTACTGGTAGGCACAAGTGGTCCACTATGGTTGCTTTCTCCTTTTATTCACTTTATGGAAAACAACTTCTTGTTTTAATATGGTATAGTGTGACGTTTTCTGTGTAAATTGTTTAGCTAAACAATTTTAGCTTGATAGCAGTGTAAGATTCTATGTGGAGCCATGTTCTATTTGACCATCCAACATCTAGTATGCCAATCCAACAATGAGGTGAATATGATACTAGTACATGTCATGAATATTGGGTAATGAATACAATCACAAGCCAGCCCACGCAAGATTTAGCCCATGGGCTAAAATACGATATTTTTTTCCGTATTTTAGCCCATGGGCTTAAATTTGGATTTAAATCCTGGATGTTTAGAGTGACGTCCCTTTCCAAACGCATGGCGAACCTCGACGTTTTTAACTTTAGTAGTGCTGTGCGAGGTTATCACGTTTACAGAACATTTTGGACGCCTGTTACAGGGCAGTTATTTGTGACAGAAATTGATCATCTTAACCCCTATGATGTGCGTGCAGTTAAATTGAACCATGTGGTCATTCAATTTTGACTTTATAGACCAGTTTCCTGATAAAAGAGTTTAAAAAAAAATTCTTTTAATTTTATCAACATATTGTGCATTTTTGAATTTAAGCCCTGGGCTTAAATATGGTTAAAATATTTCATCACTAGGACAGTGATTTTCCGTATTTAAGCCCCCGGTAACAGTTTAAATTTGTCATGAAAATGGCCAGCAATCATATTGCTGTCAAACTGAATATAGTGTTGACATTTTTCCTGCCTTGCTTGGATATATTCCTTTTTGCATATCTCGCATTGATCATGTTGATGATTACCAACCAAATTCAAGTTTAAACACTTCTTTTTGAAACATTCATGAGTATTCGATTCTAACAACCAAATTCTTTGAAAATGTGAGTGAATCATAACAGCCCTAGGCCTAGTATTCATTTGAGATCTCACAGATTTGGTAGAAAAGGAGATATGTATTTGTGTTACATGATGGTGGGATTGTGGTTCAATGTTGAGAGGACACAAATGTTGGAAGAGGATTTGAGGATGTATGTTTTTGGTGAACAAATATATTTTATATAATTTTGATCGACTGACATGCGTTACACATGCTTAAACACAAATGGCAAGACAAATGTGAGGGGATGGGTTCAGGATACTCTGTGAAGTCGGCACAAATGACCTCGGTATCAAAGAATTCACTTGGAGTGACTGAAAGAGTGAGTTTAGTTTTATGCCACTTTTAGCAATATTCCAGCAATATCACTGCAGGGGACACAAGAAATGGGTTTCTCACATTGTACCCATGTGGGAATCGAACCTGGGTCTTCGGCGTGACGAGCAAACGCTTTAACCACTGGGCTATCCCACTGCGCCATATCTTAGAGTGGGATAGGTATATATATAAGCATGAAATGTTAGGTTGGAATCCAGGTGTAACTGTGACCAAACTTGCGATAGAAAGGCGTGATTGTGGTCATGTGATTTACGTTTGAGATCATTGTGTTATCTTTAGGTTAAATGGCCTATTTTGGAAAGATATGAATATTTTAAATTTTTTCCTTTTTTTGAAGGTGAGGTCTGGGGGTAGTACACTCTGTCTGGACACCCTAGGCCGAGAGGACAAGATTGAATATGATCTTGGAGTTTTCAGTTGTCAGCACGGGGCCAGCGCAAATGAGGTAAGTGATCAAAGCTGCAAGAGGGCCCAAATTGGGGGTGTTGAAAGTCAATCAGCGAAACATGGGGCCTTAATTGGTAGTCATTATTCTTTAAACTTGGTGAAGAATAGACTCACATGATTAGAGAAAAAGCTGTAAGGTTAAGTGTAAAATATGAAATATACCTATGTGAATGCAGGTCGTCACTTAGGCGGATCCGGTGTGTGTGTGTGTGTGTGCGTGCGTGCGTGCGTGCCTGTTTTTGTTGTTGTTTTTTTGCACCCCTTTTGTCCTGAAAGTTTATTAAATGACCATTGAAACTCGGGTGAAAATGAAGTGTGACCCAAAAAGCTCTATCCGCCCCTGTGTCAGTTGTGAAGAAATGTCAACACAGCTGGTTCTGCTTTTCATTCATTGATGCAATTCGTAGTTGAAAATAACAAATTATCTTCTTTCGCTGGATCTAGTCTTATGCAAGATTTTGGATGACTACAATAAACAGTGAAGTAAATCTTAAGTAAATCTTTTAAGATAAATATTAGACTCATCATTTGCTTTCAATAGGTTCTATAAGTTGTTTTACACTAAACTGTATACCCCATAGGGACCCTCATTTAATGTGATTTGTTCTTAAACAAATGTTTTCAGATATGAGCTGCCTGATTAGCTGGTCACAGTGATAGACAGTAATTTTACTGACTACGACATAAAACAACATTAATTCAATTTCGTGTTTTGTGTAGATTTACAACTTATTCCCTGTTTTCAGCTGTTTTCCTTAAGTAAGACGAATGAGCTGCGGAGAGAGGAAGTGTGCCTCGACTCCCAGGGGGACGACGGCAGCGTTGCCAGGATGATGCTGTGTTTTAAAAAGACCCCCGGAATGAAGTGGAAATATGATGTGGTAGGTTCCGATGGTTATGACAAGAGTGACTAATACTACCATACCCTCACCAATACACCTGAACATACACCCACCTGTCCTATCTTACACCTCTTCATACACCTGAAGGTACACCCACCCATCCTCCAGACCATCACCAATACACCGGCCCCTGTTCCACAAAATGATTGTTGCACTAAGGTGATCGTCAACTCCCATACTTTAACATAGACTTACGACTGTCGTAGCACTAAGATGATCGTAACTCCCATACTTTAACATAGACTTACGACTGTCGTAGCGCTAAGATGATCGTGAACTCCCATACACATAGAACGATGTCGAGCTTAAGATGATCGTAACTCCCATACTTTAACATAGACTACGATTGTCGAAGTTAAGATGATCGTAACTCCCATACTTTAACATAGACTTACGACTGTCGTAGCGCTAAGATGATCGCAACTCCCATACTTTAACATAGACTTACGACTGTCGTAGCGCTAAGATGATCGTAACTCCCATACTTTAACATAGACTTACGACTGTCGTAGCGCTTAAGATGATCAAATAACTCCCATACTTTAACATAGACTTACGACTGTCGTAGCGCTAAGATGATCGTAACTCCCATACTTTAACATAGACTTACGACTGTCGTAGCGCTAAGATGATCGTAACTCCCATACTTTAACATAGACTTACGACTGTCGTAGCGCTAAGATGATCGTAACTCCCATACTTTAACATAGACTACGACTGTCGTAGCGCTAAGATGATCGCAACTCCCATACTTTAACATAGACTTACGACTGTCGTAGCGCGTTAAGATGATCGCAACTCCCATACTTTAACATAGACTACGACTGTCGTAGCGCTAAGATGATCGCAACTCCCATACTTTAACATAGACTTACGACTGTCGTAGAGCCTAAGATGATCGTAACTCCCATACGGGTATTTTAAGTTGGATTACTTGTGCCCAATCCCTTTCACATTTGTGAATAAAATATGTTTAAATCAAATCAAATCAAATCAACTCCCATACTTTAACATAGACTTACGACTGTCGTAGCACTAAGATGATCGTAACTCCCATACTTTAACATAGACTACGACTGTCGTAGCGCTAAGATGATCGCAACTCCCATACTTTAACATAGATAGACTGTTGCAGCTAAGATGATCGTAACTCCCATGTAACATAGACTAGCTGTCTAAGATGATCGTAACTCCCATACTTTAACATAGACTTACGCACTGTCGCTCTAAGATGATCGTAACTCCCATACGGGTATTTTAAGTTGGATTACTTGTGCCCAATCCCTTTCACATTTGTGAATAAAATATGTTTAAATCAAATCAAATCAAATCAACTCCCATACTTTAACATAGACTTACGACTGTCGTAGCACTAAGATGATCGGAACTCCCATACTTTAACATAGACTACGACTGTCGTAGCGCTAAGATGATCGCAACTCCCATACTTTAACATAGACTTACGACTGTCGAAGCGGTACGATCATTTTGAGGAACAAGGTCCTGAATGTACACCTATCCTTACACCCTCCAGTACATGGGATGATGTTTTGACCATGTTCCTGGATATTATCATCCTAAATTTGTAGGATGAATTTTTAAAATTTTCAAAACTTTATCCATTTCAAACCTGGAAAGCTCAAAAGCACATTAATTGTGTGCAGTAAAATTATATTTTCATAAGTAAAACATAGTGAATGATATTGGTATCTTCATCCTGAAAATGCCAAAGACCCGGGTTCGAATCCCCACATGGGCACAATGTGTGAAGCCCATTTCTGGTGTCCCCCGCCGTGATGTTGCTGGAATATTGCTAAAAGCGACGTAAAACCAAACTCAGTCAGTCAGTCAGTCATCCTGAAAATGCAAAAATAGATAATTTGGACAAATAGATTACATATTGCCACGGAGGGCTAAAACAATCTTTCCAATAAACCCTTCCTTCAGAGGGGTGGTGGGGAAGCCTAGGGCACCCACATGGGTGCAATGTGTGAAGCCCATTTCTGGTGTCCCCTATAAAAGCGGCATGAAACTCAAGTCACTCACTCCCTCGTATAGCTCTCTGTTTCCTCAGACCGACCGTCTCCTTCTGATGGTACTGGATGGTGGGGTGGCCAAGTGGTTAAAACGTTCGCTCGTCACGCAAATATTGCTAAAAGTGGCAAAACCCAACTCACTCCCTCACTCACTCGTATAGCTCTCTGTTTTCTCAGACCGACAGTCTCCTTCTGATGGTACTGGATGGTGGGGTGGCCAAGTGGTTTAAAACGTTCGCTCGTCACGCTTATATTGCTAAAAGTGGCAAAACCCAACTCACTCCCTCACTCACTCGTATAGCTCTCTGTTTTCTCAGACCGACAGTCTCCTTCTGATGGTACTGGATGGTGGGGTGGCCAAGTGTTTAAAACGTTCGCTCGTCACGCGAATATTGCTAAAAGTGGCAAAACCGAACTCACTCACCACTCACTCAGCTTGCTTCTGAAGTTGTTAACAATGTTATCATGTCTTCATTCCAGGTCCAAGGCACGATTATCCAGGAGAAGTCTGGCAAGTGTTTAGACAGAGCCAAGCTGACTGCCGGCGGCACCGTCATAGTAAATCCATGTAACGGAGGAGACTCGCAGAAGTGGACATTTGAAACAGTCAGCATTTGAGGGATTGTTTAGAAAGGTTATTTATTGAGCTTTCAGCTCCACTGAATATGTATGTTGTATATATGAGTAAGTAAAATGTGTGTGTGGAACATGTGACGAGTGTCTTCCTGTTCTGGACTCTAGGATAGTGCATTTGATGGAATATGCATGCTTGAGAGGGCAATGGTTGGTACTTACTTTAGATTGCTAGATCCGAGAAAATTGATGTCATTATCACCTGTATCTTAGCCTTCAATTATAATTAATTTCAGCATAGGATGCTGTAAAGAGGGCAAGAGATTTCAACCAGTTGGATCGTCATTCAACAAGAAACAACTGAACCAATATTTTGCACACTACAGTCGGTTTGGCTCAAATGCGGACCGTCGAATTACAATCTAACTCGAAAACTATTAAACATAACATACTCAATGAAACGCTGATCATAATCAAAACATCATACCCACTCTGTGAGGTTTTTGCAGAATTTTTGGCCTAAAAATAATAAAGTTGTTTAACAAACTATCATTAAAATATTGACACAGTTCACTGTTTGTTACGAGGGAGGAGTGCAGAGAAAGGGACAGCCAGGTGTTCGAGAAGCACGTTCACAAAGTTATTTATTCATTTACCTGTGCAAAAAGCTCACAGAGTGGGTATGATGTTTTGATTATGATCAGCGTTTCATTGAGTATTTTATGTTTATTAGTTTTCGAGTTAGATTGCAATTCATCGGTCCGCTTTTGAGCCAAACGCACTATAATACTAGATAGAGACTTACACATTATTATCCCAAAATATCCTGATATTTTCAAATATGCGGAGAATAAGACCAAAGCAAGAGAAAATTTGTAAATTTGGAGGTGCAGTGTAAACATGCTTATTCCATCATACTATATGCCCTCAAAAACTTACTATAGCACAAATGAGAGGATGTCTCACTCAGAGATGAGCGATTGCCAGAATGTTGTATAGCTGAGCTTTGCTGTAACCGAGTGAGAGGCATAGATCCCGTGTTAGTTTCTGGTTGTGTTTTTATGAGGTTTTTCGTAGAGCAAAGACTTTGTGGGCAACAAATGAATTACTTGTGAGTCAGATATGCCACTGGAACTGATGCTTCTAAGTTGGGGAATTTTACGATTATGATAATTGATATGGGTAGCTACTCTATCTCAATTCCATTTATTTTTTCATTTCTATTTCTTTCTTTCTTTCTTTTTCTATCTGTATTGACTAAATTTCCCACCTGTTCTGACATGAGAGGTGTAGGTACTGAAACCATTACTTTCTTTGCTGATATAATAGTATCTGTACTGCGCTGTAATATAGTATCATCAAAATGAGGCATTAATAAGAACAGTTATTATGTGGAATACGGTAATACCATGGCATTCTGATGAACGTGTAATTTGTCATGCTGAGAGATAGTGCTTGTGTGAATGGTGAGACTGAAAACAGCTGGTACGTAGTCATAGATTATGCCAGCACAGGTTCCTCATTGGTTCTTATGCACAGTGTATAAAGATATGCAATAAAAATATATTTTCTTAAAGGAATAAACCACAGAAAAAATGTTGTTTGCTCTGAAATGTAACCCATATGTGAAGGTGTATGTTTTGTACTGCTACATCTTCATATGTCATATACTCATGGAAGGAATTAAGGGAACATGAAACAAGAACTTAAGCTGGGAATATAAATGTATATTTCCCACATTAATGAACACTATGAGACAGTATTAGTATGTGATGTGTTGGGACATGAACTAGAACACCAGGGCCCTCTTTCACAACGGGATCTTAACACTACAATGAGCATAAGCCTCTGTTAAAGTATGTCAGTTACAATCACCATAATAAGTGAGGCAGTTACGATCACCTTAAGTATGTTAGTTATGATCACCTTAAATATGGGAATTACGATCACTTTATGTATGTCAGTTACAATCACCATAAGTGAGGCAGTTACGATCACCTTAAGTATGTTAGTTATGATCACCTTAAATATGGGAATTACAATCACCCTATGTATGTCAGTTACAATCACCATAAGTGAGGCAGTTACGATCACCTTAAGTATGTTAGTTATGATCACCTTAAATATGGGAATTACAATCACCCTATGTATGTCAGTTACAATCACCATAAGTGAGGCAGTTACAATCACCTTAAGTATGTTAGTTATGATCACCTTAAATATGGGAATTACAATCACCCTATGTATGTCAGTTACAATCACCATAAGTGAGGCAGTTACGATCACCTTAAGTATGTTAGTTATGATCACCTTAAATATGGGAATTACGATCACTTTATGTATGTCAGTTACAATCACCATAATAAGTGAGGCAGTTACGATCACCTTAAGTATGTTAGTTATGATCACCTTAAATATGGGAATTACAATCACCCTATGTATGTCAGTTACAATCACCATAAGTGAGGCAGTTACGATCACCTTAAGTATGTTAGTTATGATCACCTTAAATATGGGAATTACAATCACCCTATGTATGTCAGTTACAATCACCATAAGTGAGGCAGTTACGATCACCTTAAGTATGTTAGTTATGATCACCTTAAATATGGGAATTACGATCACTTTATGTATGTCAGTTACAATCACCATAAGTGAGGCAGTTACGATCACCTTAAGTATGTTAGTTATGATCACCTTAAATATGTGAATTACAATCACCCTATGTATGTCAGTTACAATCACCATAAGTGAGGCAGTTACAATCACCTTAAGTATGGGAATTATGATCAACATAAGTACATCAGTTATCTTCACCATAAGTATGGTTACAATTATCTTAGCACTAAGGTTGGAATGGAGCCCTGGGCCTAGATTTTCGAAGCTCTCTTAGCGCTAAGATAGTCGTAAGTGCCATACATTAACATTAACTTACGACTATCTTAGCGCTAAGAGAGCTTCGAAAATCTAGGCCCTGGTTATTATAGTTCAAGCACAGGGTGTGAGCTGACATCATTTCTATGTGTTCCCATTTTTCCTACCATCAGCATATTCATCACATTGACTGTACATGTCTTTCATTCTTAATAGACTGCTAGGCAAAAGATGGTACCTGTATACACTTGATACACTTGAAACCTGGCTTTGACCAAAAATATCAAATATCATCTGAATATTACTAGGATGAAGACAGTCGCCGAAACACTGCAAACTGAGTGTCCTGTCATGTATTGCCATTGTGATTAGTGGTATGGTAAATAGTACCAAACAGCTCATGCTATAAGTTACTGATGCCATCATCTGGGACCCATTGTACTTGTAATAAAAATAAACCGTTGATTGTATCCCAAGAATTGTGTAAGAAGATATGGAAATGGTTCCAATGAGAGGACAATAGCATCACTGGAAGGCATTACCGTCACAAGCATAACTGTGATATTTATATTAAATACATCCCATCGCCATCACATGTATTTTATATTTTTTCTCTATAATTCATGACATCCTCAAACCACAAGGATATATATTCCTTTGGCAGTTTACATTGGTGGGAAGATTTCCATTTTGCCTTATCTGAAATATCAACATTATTTAACTATTCATATTACCTAGGTCATGTGGGTAGTTCTTATTATATCATAGGGGTGTAAGTTGGTGTTATGCATCTGCTAGGCAGTATACACTTGTGGGAGGATTTCCATTTTGCCTTATAGTGAATGGAGGGGACAGAGATATGATATATCAACATTATTCAACTTTGTGTAATATGCATATTCATAATAACTAGGTCATTTGGGTAGTTCTCATTGTATCATAGGGGTGTAAGGTGACTTGCTGTTATGTATCTGCTTGTTGTACTGTGTAGTATGTTGCCCTTTTTTTACAATCCGTTTGAGTCAGAAACGGACCGATGAATTGCAAATTTTATCATTGTACAAAATTGCCACATAAATATAACTCGTACACATGTTTATCATTTACTAATACCCAACAGCTTTCTTATATTTGAAAATTTTCCGGACTCCACCAAAAAAGTTGTTTAAGAAACTATCATCACTGAAAACGCAAAAGTTGTTATCTGTCGCGGCGGGGTGAAACTGCAGAAACGGAACAGCCAGTCATGGCGGGGGACATCTCAAAATCTATTCCGGGAGACTTGTCGGTTTCAAATATCAGAAAGCTGTTGGGTATTAGTAAATGATAAACGTGTACTATTTATATTTATGTGGCAATTTTGTACAATGATAAAATTTGCAAATCATCGGCCCGTTTCTGACTCAAACGGACTGTAAGTGATGGAATCTCCTGGTGGGATGTGTTTCAAATACTATTTACCTACAAATATATTTATATTGCCTTTTTTGACCAGTTATGAGGAAGTGTAGAATAATCAGTGTTTACATCGACCATAGATTTTATGGGCAGTTTCATCCATTCTGTGTTAGGGAATGTTGATCATGTTCTCCCCCTTGATGTACGAGCTGTGTGCATCTACTTAACATTGAATGTGAGTTTGGTATGCTCGCATGATGCAATACCTGATACAAGACATGGTTGATACAATATGATACAAGATACAATACTCGATATACACTAAATGATATATATTTCATACACGACAATATATGATACATTATTGTGATATATATCATACATGATGCATAAAATGCACGCATACTCCCACACAAAGGCATGCACTCACACATGCACCAACCATGCACACATACTTTGCACACAGAGACATGCTTACACACATGCGCATATGCACACGCAACCACACACACATGCATGTGCACGCAACCACACACACATGCATGCATGCATGCCTGAATTCATGTATATGTTTAATGTGAACATAGTTCATATGAGGGTTTGGTGTCTCATATATTTATTGTAGATGTGTTAATGACAAAATGAAAATGCAATAATTGTAACTTTGTGCCCCGTCTCTCTTGAGTCTGCCCTCCATCACAGCCTTCAACATTGCCAATAGTGGTATCGGTGTCTTGGTGCTTTGTACACAGCCATCCAGGGGGACGATCTAGAAAGTGTTCATTGCAATACAATATTCGTAAGCCTATGATAAACTATAGAGTTACGACAAGTTGTAACGTTACGAAGTCTTTGTGGATCGGGACCCTGAAAACTACACTAAACATAGTACTTACCCAGTCATCTGCAAGTAAGATTTCATATTAAATAATGTCTTTCAGATTTCTATCGGTTTATTCCAGTGTGTAAGAGTGTGTAGTTAAATATACCATACATGTATATGCAACCTGTTTGCAGCAGGGGTTGATGGGAGTGAGGTTATGCTGTGTAATATATACTGAGGGAAGAAAATAAGGGATCACATGAAAGCACAAGTGTTCCTTTATTTTTTTCCACGTTTCTTCACAAGCTATCCGATACAAAGCTTGTGAAGAAACCTGGAAAAAAATAAAGGAACACTTGTGATCCCTTATTTTTTTTCCTCAGTATATAAAAGAACTGTCTGTTTATATACACATATATGTTTCTGTCAGAGTATCAGAGTTAAATATTACAAAGTAAGACAATATTTACATCAGGTGCATAGATACCTTCTAGTGCAGCTACCTCAAAATATGTTAGAAGTGTCCATCACATCCAATATTTCCATTCTCCGCTCCGTACCGGAGACCGACCGGAAGATGTTATAGTAGTGGTAAATTTGAAGGTGGACAGTCCCTATAACTGAAAAGATTTGCATTTAAAATGAATATCAGATGAGGGTCTGTTGTTACAATACTCTCCATGAGCCAAATCTCGGATATGTGCAAACCAAAATGAATTAAGCTGGTAGTGAACAGGCTCTGTTCAAAATCATAGATATGTTATTAGCAATGACAGGACAGGTAAATTATAGTCATGACCATGGTTTCACTTGTTATGGACTTATATAACATTATTTGTGAAGTTTTAATAAACTGGGCATGTTTACAGACTCTTTCTTGCATTAAATGCAATGACACAAATCTGAGTAAAATATCATATACCTTCTTCCCTTTGTTTGTTTATTGCCACACTCAGCAATATTCCATCCATATTATGACAGTCTGTAAATAAATAACATGGACTGTTATTGATCCTATCAGTGAAATACAAGTCAGTAACATTAATTGTAAAAACAATATTTCTTGGCAATGTTTACTGATACTTTTTTAACAGGTGTTGTACCAAATATTGGCCTATAAGCAGGCCCTGGTCTGTCACTGTGTAAGGTAAAATATACTACCTACATTGACTTGACTTTTCTATCCATTTGAGGCAGATACTTTTTCAATGTACCTGGGATAAAGTGTCATACCTGACTTGCTGTGTTACCATTTGAGTGTTTGTTATTTACATACATACATGTCTATTAGAGGTGTGACGATACAGAAATTTCACGATACGATATGTATCGCGATATCTTGGAATGATACGATTCGATTCAATACATATCACGATATGCTATCTTTAGTTATTTTCTTTAAAAATGTATATTTTGATAGCAATTAACAGTGTAAATTTTGACATAACCGTCAGTTTCCAGTGAAAATTAACAATTTTAAGGTCTACGATACATATCACAATACGAGAAAAAGCATCGATATATTTATCCAGATAAACTATCATGATTATCGATACTACGATATATCGATATATCGTCACAGCTCTAATGTCTATACTGCTGAAAGTTATTTTATACCATGACATACCCGTCCGGGTTAGAATATTGATCTTCAGTAACCCATGCTTGTTGTAAGAGATGACTAATGGGATCTGGTGGTCAGACTCGCTGACTTGGTTGACACATGTCATCGGTTCCCAATTGCGTAGATCGATGCTGATGCTGTTGATCACTTGATTGTCTGGTCCAGACTTGATTATTTACAGTCCGCCGCCAAATAGCTGGAATATTGCTGAGTGCAGCGCTAAACTCACTCACTCACTATACCATGACAGACTATTTTGACAATCATGAACTGATGTTATTGTTAGATTTTATGAGTGCTTCTGGTGGTCATCAATTTGCACTTGTATGAATGAATTAAATCAGCTGCTTTTGTATTAAAGCATGCAAAGATGGTGTTACCTATAGGCTAATACAGGTTTGTACAGAAATAGTTGGAGACAGATTAACTATGGTAACATGGAACAATCAGGGTTCCTTAACTTATTTTGAGTGGTGTATACAGGCTTGTACTGGAGGAGCTGATGCTCAAGCTCTTGGTGCAGATTGTTGGGATTTAGGGATCACACAGGTTTGACTTCACATGTGATATTCATGTTTTGCAGCAAGTGCCTGTGGATATTGTTTTTAAGGTGTTAATTGATGGCGAATAAAACATTTTGAATGAAGGTTGTTTGTTTGTTGCTTAATGCCTCAATCAGCAATATTTCAGCTATATAACAGCGGTCTGTAAACAATCGAGTCTGGACCAGACAATCCAGTGATTGGCATCATGAGCATGAATCTACTCAAGTGAGATAGGACATGTGTCAACCAAGTCAGGAGCCTGATCCAGTCAGTCGCATCTTACGACAAACCCGATCTTAAGGGAATCATCATTGTTTTATCCCGTAATGGCAGTTAGGGCAACACCTGATAGATATTGATGTCTTTTGGTATGTCAACACGTGACTAAACGACTTACTTTCCTAGATCTGGGCAATGCTTCATTCAATAGGTACCTGTGAAGGTCCGGGTTAGAATATTGGACTTCAGTAACCCATGCTTGTTGTAAGAGGCGACAAACGGATCGGGTGGTCAGGCTCGCTGACTTGGTTGACACATGTCATCGGTTCCCAATTGCGCAGATCGATGCTCATGCTGTTGATCACTGGATTGCCTGGTCCAGACTCGATTATTTACAGACCGCCTCTGTATGGCTGGAATATTGCTGAGTGCGGCGTAAAACTAAACTCACTCACTCACTCATTCAGTAGGCGACCACGGTGATCACAGGGAATGTGGGAAATCGAACGGGTCTTCTGCGTGACGAGCGAACACTTGAACCACTAGGCTACCCCACCGCCCCTACCCTACACAGACATGCTACAGACACTATACAGAGGTACAACTAGGATGAGATTGACTTGCCGAGGTGTCAGCTTGGCGATCCCCTTGTGCAGTTTCCAACTATTATACTCTTGAAACACAACGCATGAGATGCACGTGCACAACGCCGTACACGTGCATGGGGTGTCCTTTTTTATTTTGACGGCTTTCAAGAAGGACGATAAATCACTGCAGACCATTAATTTTGACAATCATCTTGCATCACACAGTTGTTAGTGTTTGTTTCTAGCTGTTTTTATTTGTTTGAAAATGAAAATCGTACACATGCAAATTTCACGTCATACACCAATCATCTCACAAGAGCAATTACTGTACAAACAACTATGGTCATAAGGAAGCACAAGTGGTGATGCACTCTCAAAACATTCATTATTATCATATCAACATTCCATTGACTCCGATATATCTCTCAATGTTTTCAATCGTAAATCGAAAATGAAGTTCCCCTACTTTTTTTGAAGAGCATACATTTATGACGCCCATTTCTGTTGTCACAGCGTTGTCATTGCTGAATATTGCTCTAAACGACGTAAAACTCAGCCACTCTCTGATACAACCAAGATATTCTTCGAAACATCTTAAAACTAAGCCCATTCAGTCACTAGATATGCCTCGTGTCTCTACGTCTGCTATGAACCAAAGAGTGAGTGAGTTGTTTTCTCTACTATATGGCGGTATGTACCAAAGAAGATTCAAACATGTTTCTATAATTTCAGGGTTGCCTATGGTAATGTAGGGATCTTCTGCATGTACCTGGTGACTTGACATGTGCATTGTCACACTTAAAGGCAAAACGTCAATCGGCGTTTCGTGCAAACGTTATATGACGTTCTTTCTTAACCTATTGGCCAACATCTACGTACAGGGGTAGCCTTGTGGTTAAGCGTTGGATCGTCTCGCCGAAATCTCGGTTCGATTTCCCACATGGGTACAATGTGTGAAGTCCATTTCTGGTGTCGCCCGTCGTGATATTGTTGAAATATTGCTAAAAGCGGCGTAAAACCACACTCACCCACGTTTCATATACGTATGTTTAGATTTAGTAACATGCTTTTGGTGCAGCTTTGAATCTGTTTGAATGGTAGCATGGATCAATGAGACTGCTATGTATTGTATTTAAGTGCCCATTCACAAAGGCGTAGTGTTTGTGTCTTCACTTCCCGACATCCGTTAAGATCGGTTAGAATTCATCTTTAGCAACCAAGGCTTGTCTTAATAAGAAGGGGCGGTGGGGTAGCCTAGTGGTTAAGGCGTTCGCTCGTCACGCCGAAGACCCGGGTTCGAATCCCCACATGGGCACAATGTGTTAAGCCCATTTCTGGTGTCCCCCGCCGTGATATTGCTGGAATATTGCTAAAAGCGGCGTAAAACTAAACTCACTCACTCACCCACTTAATAAGAAGCGACTAACAGAATCGGATGCTTGATCGTCCTTGACTTGCGTGATGCTCGTCATCGTATCCCAGGGCGGTGGAGTAGCCTAGTGGCTAAATCGTCCGCTCGTCACGCTTAAGACCCGGGTTCGAGTCCCACATGGGTACAATGTGTGAAGCCCATTTCTAGTGTTCCCTGCCGTGATATTGCTGGAATATTGCTAAAAGCGGCGTAAAACCATACTCACTCACTCATTCATCGTGTCCCAGATCGATGCTCATGATGCCAAACAGTGGATTGTCTGGTCCAGAATTATTTACAGACCGCCGTCATATAGCTTGAACACAGCCGAGTACGGCGTTAAACAACAAACAATCTAAGACTGTGATTCCTGACCGTGATAACGGACTATGGTAGTTGATAGAGCCACTCCTTGAAGCTGTGTGATAAGCTTGGTGATAAACAACTCTGTGTCTTCACTTTGACCTCTAACAAAGCTGGCAGCAAGGTAAAGTTCTAATAGACCCTGCGTATCTATACCGTGGTTAAAAATAGTTTATTTTTAAATCGGGCTAGATTTCAGGGTAAAGCTTGTTTCACTTCTCACATTACAATTGAATGAGTGAGGTTTTACGCGGCTTTTAGCAATATTCCAGGAATATCAAGGCGGGAGACACCAGAAATGGGCTTCATACATTGTACCCATGTGGGAAATCGAACCCGGATCTTCGGTGTGATGAGCGAACGCTTTAACAACTAGACTACCCCACTGCCCCAACATTAAAGCTTGTAAAAGTCAGTGACTGAAACACTTTTGGAAATTACAGATGCGTTTCTGTTTTAGTGACGTATAGGTCTGTGTGGTGGTCGAACTTTGCCTTTATGAGCGATATTCGCAGGAACCTTCGGCAGCTATGGCAAACACCTTCCAGAAAAGGTCTACATGTTCATTAAATGGACCTGCTATGAGTTCCCACGAACAATGACGAAAGGCCTGTATGTTCATTAAATGGACCTGCTATGAGGACCTGCTATGAGTTCCCACGCACAATGACGAAAGGCCTGTATGTTCATTAAATGGACCTGCTATGAGTTCCCACGAACAATGACGAAAGGCCTGTATGTTCATTAAATAGACCTGCTATGAGTTCCCACGCACAATGACGAAAGGTCTGTATGTTCATTAAAAGGACCTGCTATGAGTTCCCACGAACAATGACGAAAGGCCTGTATGTTCATTAAATAGACCTGCTATGAGTTCCCACGAACAATGACGAAAGGTCTGTATGTTCATTAAAAGGACCTGCTATGAGTTCCCACGCACAATGACGAAAGGCCTGTATGTTCATTAAATGGACCTGCTATGAGTTCCCACGAACAATGACGAAAGGCCTGTATGTTCATTAAATAGACCTGCTATGAGTTCCCACGAACAATGACGAAAGGCCTGTATGTTCATTAAATAGACCTGCTATGAGTTCCCACGAACAATGACGAAAGGTCTGTATGTTCATTAAAAGGACCTGCTATGAGTTCCCACGCACAATGACGAAAGGCCTGTATGTTCATTAAATGGACCTGCTATGAGTTCCCACGAACAATGACGAAAGTGTTCATTAAGTGCACCGGATATGCTATCGCCAAAGTATCGGTCAAGACATGTTATCTGTAAACTGAAACCAGTAGCTTCAAAGAAAAAATATTCTGTAAGTTATCCGGGGTAGAAAACTGAACAAAGAAACAAAATTCATTCTGTTCTCTTTCCTCTAAAAGCATTTGGCGGAATTAAGCAAAGTTTTAAAACAATATTCATATGGATAGTAACCAAATCACTGTCAGAACCATTTTGGCTCAATGGCTAAGCTTTTTCCTCTTGTTTTTTTTAATTCAAAAACGCCGTTTGTGTACATTTTTTGTAGCAAGGATGAAGTCATTGTTTGGATACCTGTTGATGCTGTTGTTGGCGCCACGCTCTGAAGCGGCAGATTGCGCATGCGCAACATATAGCTTGCACGTGCGTTCCGGGTACAGTCTCAACGCCCCTATCATCGGATCCCTGACAAACGGTCAATGTGTGACCTTCAAAGGTGACCGACACGTTGCAGATGGCTACACCTGGGCCCACGTCGACTACAACGGAAAGGTGAATGAGTTGATTTGGTGTTTTAACGTCGGTTTAACCATTTCTGTGTAGTGGTTTCACACGTGGACGTAATGCTGGGGATGAAACAGGATTCCACGAATGATGACACCAAGTAGTTGTTGTAGTAGTAGTTGTTGTAGTCGTAGAAGTACTTGTTGTAATCGTAGTATTAGTATTGGCAGTTGTAGTAGTAGTGGTACCAGTAGGAGTTTTTGTTGTAGTAGTAAAATGAGTGAGTGAGTTAATATTTAACGTCACATCGGCAGTATTTCAGCCATACCGTGACGAGAACGATCTCTCAATTAAACCACAATAAGTATATACCATATAAACCTGTCGTCGAAGGACAGTAAAAATATAAGAATATCACAGATTTGGTTTAAACCTTGTATGTTGTACTAAAATCTATTACTGCAGAAAACAATACAAAATACAAACAGACTACTGATCGCCAGCAACTGAAGGTAGATCACCATACCAGGGACCATGGGGCCTAAAGTACTCTTGCTTCCTGCATGGACCCCAGCTGGATTTACACCATCCCCTCAGCTGTTGGCGATATTGTAGAAATTTAGCCGATCATTAAAAGAACAAATATTCTACTATTAAAACGATGAGTAGTAGTAGTAGGGCTTTGGGCCAGTACCATCGTAACCGCCGTGGCTGTTGCCAAAAGACTCCTTTTCGGGGCATAATATCCCTTGCAATAGATGCTCATGAAGGTCTGAGATGCCCCGTCTTTTACATTCTGCTTACATTGGATGCAGTGTACTATATGACTAATATCTACATTTCAGAATGGTTATGCCGCTGTCAACTGGTTGAACATTCATCCATGTGGGGGTAAGGTAGCGTCCATACTCATTGAACTTGAGGTATTCTTATTATCACCTGGGAGGCGTTACATTGAGGACGCATGGACAGAAACAGCATTGTAATGGTTTTACAAATCGACCTCAGCGCCACGACTGTCGTAGGTCTGTGTTAAAGTATGGCAGTTACGATCGTCCTAGAACTGGGGAACCTTGGACGACTCTGTAATTTATAAGCTTAAAGTTCGAGAGTACCATTACATAAAAGCGCCTGAAATGTACACTCTCGTAGAGTTGCGCTAGGTTTACGACATTGTCTAAGGCTGTTATCAAAACAATACAAAGCTACACTAAAACTGGCGTAACTAACAGTAATCTTTAAATTTTACTCGGACCATTGTCATATGTTCTGAACTTGTCAAACGTAGTTAGGTCAGATACACATACAGTAGTAATAGTGTGTGTGTGTGTGTGTGTGTGTGTGTGTGTGTGTGTGTGTACTACCAATAGAATGTTTAATAGTCTTGTCTGATGATGTTTGTGGTGCGCTGGTATTTCTCCCGTGGGGTTGTGCGTGAGCTCCGTGTCTTTTCTTTCCGAATGGTAGGCGCGAACCGTGCGATGCGCAACTCTGTACCTTGACCAATACCCATGTTTAATAGTCTTGAGCCACAGAGGAATACCAGCGCACCACAAACATCATCAGACCAGGGACCAGGCGGGTCTCTGGTCAAACATCAATATCTGCGGCACGGCTTTTGCTATTTTTAATTTGAACTTGTACATTTTTAAGGGGCTGGGCTTAATTCAAATAAGCCTCTAAGCCGCATCACACGCTCTCACACACTCACACACACACTCACACACACACTCACTCTCTCTCTCTCTCTCTCTCTCTCTCTCTCTCTCTCTCTCTATTACTACTCATACGTATCACTTACGACAACTTTGTGAATCGGTACTCTTGGCAGAGCCCAGAGCTTCTATAAAGCGAGCGTAGTGTTACCTTAGTACGTAGTTCTTAATCAAAGCACAGGAGTTACATTGGATTTAGTGCCACGATCATTTAGTTGGACGGTTCCCGGCGCAGATTCCCATTAGGTTAAGTGTGGTGGTACCTCTGTATTCATCTGCGGTGAAAGATTCTATTAAACATTCTATTGGTGGTTTGTTGTTTTACTCAGCAAAGTGCGAGCCGTATGTCAGTGGCTGGTTTGTTGTTTTACGCCGCACTCAGCAATATTCCAGCCATATGGCGGCAGTCTGTAAATAATCGAGTCTGGACCAGACAATCCAGTGATCAACAGCATGAACATCAATCTGCTCAATTGGGATAGGATGACGTGTCAACCAAGTCAGCAAGCCTGACCACCCGATCCCGTTGGTCGCCTCTTACGACAAGCATGTGTTGCTGAAGATCAATTCTAACCCGGATCTTCACGGGCAAGGAGTGATTGACGCGGATCTTCTCGTGGAACTAAGCTTAATATTGCCTATTCTTGCTATGCGACATGGCTAGCGGTGACCCCGACGTCGTGGGTCGAGGTCACGCCATCCACCGCTGGTTTGTCTGGTCCAATCACAATTGTTTACAGGGTCATGTGATGTAGCTGGATATTTGTGTCCACGTCGTAAAATAACGTTCACTCACATACTAAATCTATTTTGTTTATTTTTAGCTCATAACAACAATCTTCAGCTGAGCGGTTGCCCGCGCATCATTACACGCGCTGAGTGGGGTGCACGTGCACCTAAATACGTCATCGGCAAGATGGGAGTCACTCCGAAGTATGTGTTTGTTCACCACGGTGCCACGGCCCCGTGTTATAACGAGGCTGCCTGCAAGGCCGAGGTCCTGTCGTATCAGAGGTACCACATGGACACGCACGGTAATCGATTTAACCTTCAATATACCGCTACTAGTGGGGAAAGCATTATGAAAAACGAAAACTATGAAATAAACACAGACCCCAAAAAATATTCCCAAAACTTAAAGGCACAATGTCACACCACATTTCTCTAAAAATACATAATGCATTTCTCTCAATAATACTTACTATCAGCCCTCAGGGAAGCTACCATTTAATCTATTCCCAAAAATAATTACGTATTTAGATTACAATATAAAATTAAAACGTTCGAATGAATTAATGCAACGTTTATGGCTTACCGGTGGTTGTTTTTAACCCACGACAACACTACAATAAGCGAGATGTCTTGTATCCGTGCATTATTCAATTCAATACAGCAGAGTTTTGTCAATAACAAAAATCTGTGAAAATACTATTTGCTTATAGTTACGTTACTAATTGGTACATATGAACATTTTTCGGTTATTCAATTTCCTCATGAGTATCTGTGCGCAAGTAACTCAAAGTGAAACAAACTGTGTTTTTAAATGTAGTTTCGTATTATGAGCAAATGCTCAGCTTATCTGGAGGTCTGCAGACCTGAATGCAATAACACCTTGTACAGACGCCTTATCTTCTTTTCCTTTTTCCACCGTGCATAATTGAGGTAATGGCAAATACGAGATCAGACAAGCACATAGCTTCCATTATAACCCCTCGAATGTAGCCCAAAACATTAACCCATTTAATTTCTACAACTTTCGTCACCTCCAAAATTGAGATGAACGTGATATTCTGTGGAAATTGGATTTTAAACATCACTCACTCACACACTGTTACAAGGATAACAGCTATGGTATTGCAGGTTGGCCCGACATTGGTTACAGCTTCGTAGTCGGCGAAGACGGTCACGCATACGAAGCAAGAGGATGGGACACTATCGGCGCCCACACCTACGGTTACAACAGCGTCGGACTCGGTACGTAATTCTGGGTACCATGGCAACGTATAAACAGATGAGCGACAGTGAGGTAGGATAGTAGTCACAGTGTTCGCTGGTTACACTGGAGAACTGGGTTCATGCACGTTTTCATATGAGCGAAATATTCTTAAGTAAGACGTTAAACCCCATTTCACCTCACCTGGAATCTCAACAAAAATAGCTCACTAACTCTCCCTTGTGTTGTTCATTGTATTTGTATTCCATATTGAATTAAAAAAAATTGTGTTGTTCTGTGTTGTATTTGATTTTTATAGTGTTGCTTTGTACTGTTATATTTGTATTGTATTGTATTTGTCTGTGATGTATTTGCAGTTGTGTTGTATCGTATTTGTATAATTGTACATTGTATTTTGTACCTTTAATTTCACCGAGTTTGAATAACTGCGTGTGTGTTTCTCAAAATAAGAGCAATCACACAATCTGTTTTGCATGACTCACATTATCAAAACGCCTTCGTGATAGAGGATAAACATTGCTAGCTATGGCTTTCAAAAATGTACAAAACACAAATTTGCTGTAGTTGTTTCACCTCAGCAAAACGAGACACGTTACATATGTCGTCAACAGGTATCTGCGTCATTGGTAACTTCATGGAGAGAATCCCCAACCAAGCGGCCCTGAATACGCTGAAACAGCTGATTAACTGCGGCGTCAACAACGGCAAGATCTCCTCCACTTACATTCTACGGGGCCACCGCGACATGCCTGAAAACCAGACCGCTTGTCCTGGCCAGAAACTTTGGGAGCTCATTAAAACATGGCCGCATTATTAGCTGTCGATGAGGACTGTCATGGCCATACGTCTCTTGCCGATGTCTCCCGACTGATGCCGGAATATGACGAGTGGTGACGGGTGTAATATTGGCCAGTCACTTATATTTTGCATCTACATACGTTATCAGCTGTCGTTGAAAGTAATGTTTTGAGAAAATGTTCAAATAAGTCATGTACGCATCACAATAAAATGTTGAACATAGGTTTTGTCAGTGCCTCGCTTAGGGCCTAACGGCATTCGTGACCAACTCGTGTTATTCCGGGACAAGCCGAATTACGGAAAGGGGCGAGTGGTGACCAATGGGCCTAACGGGTGATTTCAAACAGCACACGTGAAGTTCCGCGATAGTATTGGTCTTCAGCAACCCATGCTTGTCGTAAGTAGCGACTAAGGGGATCGGGTGGTCAGGCTCGCTGACACATGTCATCATATGTAGAATCAGATGATGTTCATGATGTGAATCACTGGATAGTCTAGTCAGGACTCGAATATTTACGGACCGCCTTCATATGGCTGGTTGAGGGCAAACAAACAGAGTCTTGGCGCGTCAAGTTGATGTGGGAGGAATTGATGTAGTTAGTTGACGGGTACCACTTTCTTCGTATACTCGGACATGAAACGTGTGCCTCATAATGAAGAAGGGGCAGCGGGGTAGCCTAGTGGTTAAAGTGTTCTCTCGTCACGCGGGTTCAATTCCCACATTGTCACAATGTGTGAAGCCCATTTCTGGTGTCCCCCGCCATGATATTGCTGGAATATTGCTTAAAGCAGCGTAAAACTAAACTCACTCACTCACTCATAATAAAAAAGTTGACATCTTCCTTGTAGATGGTGACGTCACCTGGACATTCTAATCAGCAAATGAGAGATAGGCTTGTGAATCTTTGGCAGAAGCAAGAAATCGAAGCATCAGGATCAGCATATCTGGTTTGTGCATTTTGAAAACAAAAACCGGATTTTGCAGTATTGAGACTTATACTGGTCGCGCTTTGCTGTGGATATTTTACTCCCTGTTTACTATGCTGAAGTAACACTGACGCACGTATACGGTAATCAGGCATACACTGACCCCGTTTTGAAGTATACGTAATATTCGTTTGGAAAATATATCATAATTGATTTCCTTGAAAGCGAGGCTTGGTGGACATGGGGTTGAGGCTGGCTGGCTATGCACTTAGGACGATCTAAGATTCCAACCAACCATCAACTCTTCCTGGAACGACTAAGGGAGGCGACTTTGCACAGCGAACGGCGGTATGAAACTGGTTCTGTGTGTCTATGCTGTTCAAACAATGCTTCATATGATTCTTGTCAGATTAATTGGACAGGCCGACGCATCCCAATTGTGTTGGTCAATGCTCATGACGTCAATCACTGGATTGTTCCTTCCAGACTCGATCTTTTACATACAGGAGGCGGTGGGGCAGCCTAGTGGTTAAAGCGTTCGCTCGCTACGCCGAAGACCCGGTTCGATTCCTAATATCGATGTGTGAAGCCCAGTTCTGATGTCCCACGCCGTGATACTGCAGGAATATTGCTATCAGCGGCGTAAAACTAAACTCACTCACTCACTTTAACAAGTTGCATTGTTCGTCTGGTCATCCAGCCGCAAATGGGTACCCGGTAGATATTGCATCGTGAACTACCACGCTTCACGATTGTATTCTCTTTAACCACTTGGCTTCCCACCCCACCCCTATTAAAATCCAAGAGAAGAAATATAAACACACATAACATAACATATCTTTAATATCCAATATTATGATTAACATAATCATTCGCCTTGTGTGTGTTGCATGTGACCGGTCAAGCAGCTTTGTCGGTAGGACAGTAGGGACATCCGGGACAGTCCTTGCCGGAGACGTGCATCGTGGAAATCTTGTACGCCACGTCACACGGTGCAGGTTGCTTGCACAGCACCATTGGACACTGGTCGAGTTGGAACACGCCTCCCTGTAGCAGTTGCTTCTTCTTCAGGATTATCTTGAATATAGAACATCAGAGTGAGTGAGTGAGTGAGTGAGTGAGTGCGTGGGTGGGTGGGTGAGTTGGGTTTGAAGCCGCTTTGAGTAGCAAATCTTCAGGTCATGTCATGTCGTGTAATATGTTTGGTTTGTCGTCATGGGTTTGACCATGGGTACAATGTGTGAAGCCCACTTCTGGTGTCCCCCGCCGTGATGTTGTTGGAATATTGCTAAAAGCTGGGTAAAAACCAAAGTCAGTCAGTCAGTCAGTGTATTTGACATGGTGTTTACTGTTTAACGCTGTTTTTAAAAGTATTGGTTCGGTTTGCTGGACAGTCATGTCGAAGAGGTATTGGTTCGCCTGACCAGTGATGTTGGCTTGTGGCTACGTCTCGCCGGAGACTGGTGCGACTCTCCACATACGTACAATCTATGAAGTCGACATTCGTGACGTTTAAATCCAGTGACTTTCTCTCGCTCACTCACTCACTCACTCACACACTCCTCACCTTCACTCACTCATTGAGTTTCAACCAACCAACCACCTTTTTGCTCACTTTTAAACTCACTCATTCACTCAATCACTGACTTTATTTCACTCACTCACTCAAATTTTCTCACTCACTCACCGAGCCATCAGGATGACCTCCGGTGGGACACGACGGGCAACCGGTGCAGTTGAGGCCGTTCACCATGAAGTGGCTGTAGGTGTAGGGGACGCTACACTGTCCGGGGTTCATGCACATATACATAGGGCACATATGCAACTGAATAGCGTGGACAAAGGGCAGCGGCGTGCCCGATGGGACCTATGAACATGGACAAAATACATTATAAAATAATTTGTAAATTTGTACTGCGAACAACCCATACCTTTTCATGATAAGAAAGACAACATCTGTGCCCGGCTAATTGATCATTTTCACTTTCACTCCCAGCCCCATGTACAGAATACAGTCTTGAAGCGTCGTAATTCACAATGCAATACCTACCGGGTACCCATTTGCGGCCGGGTGAACAGAGGAACAATACAACTTGTTATAAATTAAAGGACACCGCATGTGCTTCAGTGCGACAGAAGCCCAAGGTGAAAACTAATCACCGTATACTGTACAAGTTTCATGCACAATTCGGCCCTATATAGGGCTCGTAAGTAGGTCACGGCACTTCGCGAGACCTTACGTTGTTTAGTACTTCCGGTGACAAACAACGTTTCATACCTTTTCGAATGGTCTCATGGTTGTCAGCTGACAGTAAGGAACCGATAATCCTTGCAGACATAAAATTTCGATCTAACCATCCTCAAATTAACCAACTATTACGACTGTCAAAAGCTGTGACAGCAACGCATGGTTGTACACTTGGCCCAGTCTAGTAAAGTCATATTTGGAACCAGAACTGGTTCTTGAATATACGAGGGCGGTGTGGTAGCCTGGTAGTTAAAGCGTTGGCTCGTCACGCCGAAGACCCGGGTTCGATTCCCCACGTGGGTACAATGTGTCAAGCCCATTTGTGGTGTCCCCGTCGTAATATTGCTAAAAGCGGCGTAAAACCATACTCACTCACTCAGTCACTCTTGAATATACGCTTGTGATCGGAAGTATGGTACCGGAAGTAAGCTGGGCCCCGTCTTGCATATCGCAAGTTGGCGCGCTCAAATGGAGGCGGGAACCAGCTTAGTACCGGAAGTAGCGTCTCGTGGGACTTACAGACCCTATTGACACTTGTCAGTTCGTGTGGGTTTTTTCAGCAGACTGAGCAAATGTTGCTATTCTAACCAATACAATAAAACGAGGTCTGAGTTCTTGATACCACCAAACAAAGATGAAAAGGGTGAAAATCGATACTTGGCGGACTAAAGCATGAAACTTTGCAAAGTGCTGGGTTATATCATGCTAAAACATATTTTTGGGGGTGCCCGATTTTTTGCCCAAATGAAAGATGGCGTCCAAGGTCCCCACAAATCAAGGATTTCACAATTCACAACACTACAGGACACACACACACACACACACACACCCGCACACACACACAGCACACACACCAAATCAAGGATTTCCAATTCTAACACTATATGACTTTTCCACGCTGGATTGTAGAAGAAAACCTTGCACAGTGCATATTTGTTTCCGGCGCGTAACGATCAACTTCAAAATCGGACCTAAGCTACTGCACTAAACAGTATATTCTATGTTGACGTACGTCTTGTGGGTCCATGGCGCACTGGTCACAGCCGCGACATCTCACGCCGTCGTGGTCGTAGTAGGTGGGGACGGTTTGCTTGCAGAACCCCACAAAAGGACATGGCAGATGAGGGCACTATAAAATAGACAAATAATGACATGATAACTTTAAAGCGACCTCGGAAGTTACTGAGATGGGGAACAATGCAAATCGTGTGTGGTGGTGACGTGCACGTGCAGTTGGGTTTAACACTGCGTTTAAGTTTATTGCACATATACAGCAACGTGCATGCACGTGTGTTTGTACACGTGTGTGCGTACGTGAGTGGGTGTCCGGACGTCCCACGCCGTGTTATATAATATTGGCCCACTGCAGGGGTGGAAATAACCCATTGCCCGACGCCTGAGTCCAGTGGTTTTTTCTGTCGGGCAAGCAAATTTGTATATCACACTGTACCGGTGTCCAGTTGACTTTCCAATATTAATTATGTTGTTTATTTAAAAACTCAACAAGAAAACGGCCGGTATAGTGGAAAAATTATCAGGGCAAGTGATTTTACATGTGCCACTGTACCGGAGTACACTAGCAATTTTAAAGTTATTTCCACCCCTGCACTGAGATATCATGCATCAGATCGACATGAATGCCCCACTCAGACACAATGTACTTACTACGAGCAGACCAGTCTTTGTGTTTTACGTGTTAATGACGAGCACCAGGCATGGCAACAATAATTAACATTTTTAACGTCTTTCGGCACACCTCCATAAGATTCCATCATCTTCTATTCTGTAGATATTTTAGTTCAGGCGTTATTTTATTGGTCATGGACAGCACATCCCAGTTTGCAGAGTAGTGTCCCTTACCCGTGACAGGATTGCTGGTGTGGGTTATAAATCTTGGATTCGACTAATCTTTGTCCATTTCAGTCAGAACCAATCTGTACTCGTGTGTTTCATAAAAATGGTTAAGTCAGTCAGTTAGTTAGTTAGTTAGTTAGACCATGGCATACCTGAAATAGTCTTAAAATGTCCTAAAGAGTGCTCTTTGTCACGTCACTTACAAAAGCTGTTCACAAAAAGGTTTCAAGAACACAAATACCTGAAATGCAACTTTTTCTCTTTGGGTTTCCTTGTACCTAGCAATATTTATATTCTATAGTTATACTTACAGTGACGTCAGCTGCACCTAAACAGAAAGAGAATAAGAGTTGTTACTTTAAAGTTCCCATTTGTCATGTTCGTTCTGAATAAATATATGGTCCATCTTGGCATCATTCGTCACCAACAAAGGTGACACATGTGTCCGGGTTAAATTTGATCTTAAAAGGGATCTGACGGGATGGTCAGGACGCTGACTTGGTTGACACGTGTCATCGTAACCCAGTTGCGTATGCTCATGATGTCAATCACTAGATTGTCTGGTCCATTGCTATCTGGTCGATATAGTTTGAATGATGCTGAATGTGATATTAAACAACACAAAAAACAGCAAAAAGAATTTTCAATACAGTGAATGATAAAAAGTGCAGAAAGATTCACGCTTCGGGTGACGTGCAACATTACGTAACAAACAAATAAATCAGGGAATTTTACGTTATATTTTATGTACGTTTCATTTTGCCTCCTTCCCAAATACTCCAACCGCCTGTAAAATCTAAGCACTAGGAACATCGCCCCCTGATCAAAGGTCAACGCACGAGAACGGCCAGTTTAGATTGTCCACAGACGCCAGGTGTTCGGGACAAGGGTCATCATGTCCTTCCCCGGTAGCACCAGTTTGAGTGAGTGAGTGAGTGAGTTTAGTTTTACGCACCCAGAATATTCCAGAACTTAACTTAAGAATCAGAATAGCGAAAAGTGCGGGTTTTAGGGACAATACTTCCATTGCTGAACATTGGAATGATAACCCCAAAAGAGGTCAACAGTGCGCTAGTGAGTTAATATTTAACTCAACATCCGCATTATTTCAGCCAACTTGTGACGAGGACAATTTCTCCATTAACAATGAGTTTAGTTTTACGCCGCACTCAGCAATATTCCAGCTATAGGGAGGCGGACTGTAAATAATCGAGTCTGGACCAGACAATCCAGTGATCAACAGCATGAGCATCAATCTACGCGATTGGGGTACAATGACATATGTCAGCCAAGTCAGCGAGCCTGACCACCCGATCCCGTTAGTCGCCTCTTACGACAAGCATGGGTTGCTGAAGACCAATTCTAACCCGGGTGCTCACGGGTTAGTGACGAATGGAACTTAAGTCACATTGTCACGTCTAAATCACGTGGTCTTGTAACGCAAAAAAACCCCCCCAAACTGGCATCAATACATCAACACAAGGTATATACTGTGAATGACGGGGATCCCTTTATAAAGCGTTAAGCGGACTTCACGCGGCGAACTAAAGTTTGACTACACATGTTTTATATGTTGTCAAACTCGCGTTTTCATACGTCAAACACTTGCTGTCAAACTTTCGTGTTATTTGAGCGTCATGTCGCTATAGGTGCGGTCACGTGACAATTTCATTGACTACGATTGGTTGTTTCTGAACAACACGAGGTTGACAACACTACACCAAGTCAAACTCGAGTTTGACAACACCGAAAGTTTGATGGAAAAGTTGGTGAGAATAGAGACCGATCCTATTTCTCGACAACAGTTTGACAACTCCGCAATGGTGTTGGTGGCGAGTTGTTGGAATGTTCACACTGTCAAACTCGAGTTTGAGAACACCTGTTGTCAAACTTTAGTTTGTCGTGTGAAGGCCGCTTTGCAAGACCATGTGGTCCAATATATTAAATAAAACACAAATGAGTTTGAGAGTGTGAACTACCCCAGCACCCGGCGAGGCGTTATAACAGACATACAACCCTACAACGGTAACGGCAGTTTAAAGGGGCACAAGGGCGAGATAATGAGGATGCTGATTCGAAAGAAAATACGTTCTTCGTGGTTTCCAGAAGGCTGGCGGTAACTCGAGAATGTAGAGAAATGTTTGGGTACTCACCGACAGCGACACAGAGAGCGAAAATAACAAGAGAGAGCAGCATTGCGAAGTGAATGAGATACTGGACAGCGGATCAGTGTGATGATAAGCTATAACAGGTGCCCTTTGATGTGAGCCGACAGGTGTGTTTAGTAGGTCAGAAAACACACCTTTGATTAATATGCCTCCACAAAACACGAACACTACCTGGAATGTATAAATCAGTTCCTCCCTTGTAAATAATAATCAGCTTGTCCAGTCCCGTATTCAGGACAATCTTGGTTTACGGACGTTCTGAAGACCGTTTCTTCGAGAAGAGGGGTTGAAATGAACAAAACTCACCGTCAAAATATAAGTATACATTTCGAAGATTTAGTTATTTTGTTGTTAATGCCGCAATCAGCAACATTCCATCTCTGTGACGGCGGTCTGTTGACTGACTGACTGAGTTTGGTTTTACGCCGCTTTTAGCAATATTCCAGCAATATCACGGCGGGGGACACCAGCAATGGGCTTCACTCATTGTACCCATGTGGTGATTCGAACCCGGGTCTTCAGCGTGACGAGCCAACGCTTTAACCACTAGACTACCCCACCGCCCCCCGGTCTGTTGAGATCGAGTCTGGGCCGAGCTATCCAATGATTGACATGATGGGATTCAATGCACGCAGTTGGAATACGATGACATGTGTCAACCAAGTGTGCCAGCCCGATCCCGTTAGTCGCCTCTTACGACAAGCAGGGGTTGGTGAAGATCAATCCCGGATCTTCACTCGTTGTAGTGAGTGAGTGAGTAAGGTTTCACGCCGCCTTTAGCAAATATTCCAGCAATATCACGGCGTTGACACCAGAAACGGGATTCACACATGGTACCCATGTGGGGAATCGAACCTGGGTCTTCACGGGTCGGTCTACTGAGACAATACGCAAGTGAGTGGCGGGACATACTCTATCCCACTTCCCCACGTGGGAAATAAACTGTAGCTAACAGAGATAGCAACGTACTGGTACCAATTCTAACCCGGATAGACCCTTGAAGATCAGGGTTATAATTGGTCTTTCAGCAACCCATTCTTGTCCTAAGAGGCGACTAACGGGATCGGGTGGTCAGGCTCGCTGACTTGGTTGACACATGTCATCGTATGCCAATTCAGTAGATCGATGCTCATGCTGTTGATCACTGGATTGTCTGGTCCAGACTCGATTAGTTACAGACTACCACCATATAGCTGGAATATTGCTGAGTGCAGCGTTAAACAAACACACTAATCTAAACCAGACATTCCGAAAATATCTAATAAGAACACTCGTTGTTACTATTATTATTATTATTATTATTATAATTATAAATAATATTGTTGTGGTAAATGAGCTACAAAGATGAGGAGCAAATTCACTCTGCGTTGAGTTGCGTCCCTTGGGTACGCCAGGAATCTGTGGTTGGTGGTCTTCGAGTATTTATATTTATCCCGCTTAGATATTTTATATATACTTGTATTTTCACTTTAATAACTTAGTTAAAGACTGAGTGGTAGAATCTATCCAGATTTCTTTAATACAGGAGCACATTTGAGATACAAATCAACTAAAATTTCAGTTCAGCTTATCTTCTTGTTTTTGCCCTTTCTCTAATCTTACTGGTTTTGGTGTCGTGAAATACATATAAACTGGCGTACAAAAGAAACTATACACCTGGTTTGTGGGATAATAATGTTCAAAAAACAACCAATCAAAACCCAACGTATTATTGATGTAGTGTTTTTATTTATTCTTTTAAGTCTCATTGTGTACGTTTTGCCAAAACACCACAGATGTCTTACCCAACTGTGACGTTTGCCAACGTATACGATTCAGTCGATGATGACCGGGAAAATAATCCCCATATATTAGATGTGTACTTTCTTTTGTACTTCAGTGTATTTCAGAGTCATAGTGCAGGTCTTACCCGATAGTATAAGCACAACGGTTGTATATTAACGACAGTGACAATGTTGTTTGCCACAACGTCCCTTGGATTTGCCAGAGACTGGAATGCTGGTTCGAATCCATGTTCGAATCCCAATTATGTTGTAGGTTTGCCTGAGCCTTACCCGTCCACGTAGGTTCACCAATCTGGGCGGGGCGGTGGGGTAGCCCAGTGGTTAAAGCGTTCGCTCGTCACGCCGAAGGCCCGGGTTCGATTCTCCACATGGGTACACTGTGTGACGCCCATTTCTGGTGTCCCCCGTCGTGATATTGATGGAATACTGCTCCAAGCGGCGTAAAACCAAACTCACTCACTAACCAATGTGATAAACGTCCAAGACCTGCATCAGATCAGGCTTCCTCCCACATTAAGCTAACACGCTATGGTGTAACTGTTAACAACAGCGTCACATCCAACTCACTCACTCACTCACTGACAGCCAAGTGTTTTGCTCTGCCAGATGCAGGAAGCCACCTTCCCGCGACGATGTCTACATCCTCTCCATCGGCCAGCAGTCCAACACTACATTAACTCTGCCTGACCGAATCAGAAGGATGTCAAAAGAAGTTGTTACCCTGCCTGGCGGTTAGCTGACTGAGTTTAGTTTTACGCCGCTTTTAGCAATATTCCAGCAATATCACGGCGGGGGACACCAGAAATGGGCATCACACATTGTACCCATGTGAGGAATCGAAACCCGGGTCTTCAGCGTGACGAGCGGACGCTTTAACCACTAGGCTACCCCACCGCCCCGCCTGGCGGTTAGCAACCAGGTTGGTTGGTTGGTCGTTTAACGTCGCACTCAGCAATATTCAAGCTATATGGTGGCAGTCTTTAAATAATCGAATTTGGACCAGACAACAGTGATCTAGTGTCTCAACAGCATGAGCATCCCGATCTACGACAAGCCTGAAGAATTGGGATGGTTGATGTCATCCTATCCCACGTAGATCGATGTCATGATGTTAATCAGACGTATAGTGAGTGTGTGAGTTTAGTTTTACGTCGCACTCAGCAATATCAGCCAGTGAGCCTGCACAATTGACCACCTAATAGTCGCTTTTTATGGCAAGCACATGGGTTACTGAAGACCTATTCTACCCCGGATCACCGTGCTGAGTGGTTTGCTACATGGGTAAACTAATATGAAATAAGACGTTAAACATTTCAGATGATCCATACTATGCGGTTTCGACTCCACATTTTGTCTATGCGGTTTCACTATTTTGGTTTACGCGAACCATTGGTACAATTACCTTACTGTCACCCCTTCAAGAAACACAGGACCGCCTCCGTGGTGTAGTGGTTAGAGCGTCGGCCCCGAGAGCGGAAGGTCGGGGGTTCGTTCCCCGGTCGCGTCATACCAAAGACGTTAAAATATGGTACTTGTTGGTCCCTGCCTGGCGCTCGGCATTAATGGGTACAACAAGGACTGGTCGGATCGGAGTCAGTATAATGTTTCTGAGTGGGGTATTCATGCTTCACAGCGGCATGGGCTAGCACTATAAAACCAGCTTCAGTCTGGGCTAGTACAAGCAGCCGCACATACACATACACACGCATGCACGTCGTCATATGAGCGAAATATTCTCAAGTACGACGTTAAACCCAATTTCACCTCACCTCACCTCAAGTAACACAAACGGTGTTGAACATAACCGTTCACTCTCACAAGGACGACATCTGTGGTGTTGTGGAGAGAGCGTCTGCCCAAAGAGTTGAAGGTCCGGTGTTCGATCGCGGACCCCGGCATATCAGGTGACGTCGAAAAGATGGTACTTATTGCTACCCTGGCGCGCGGCCTTAAGGGGGCCTTAAGGGGGTGGACTGGTCGCAAGGGGTCAGTATGATGGGTCCGAGTAGGATATCAGTGTAAACAAGACATGTTATCCAGCCCGATAAAACCGACATTGCCCGGACCGAGACACACGCACGTACACGAACACGAGCGTGCACGTTACTGTATATATAATATAATCTTGAACGTTGAAGCCCATGCCACCACACACCTCACCCACTCTCCTAAAACATCGGGGGGCCGTGGGGTAGCCTGATGTTAAAAGCTTCCGCTCGTTACACGGGTTCGATTCTCCACATGGGTTCAACGTGTGAAGCCCATTCCTGGTGTCCCCCGCCGTGATATTGCTGGAATATTGCTAAAAGCGGCGTAATACCATACTCACTCAATAACACGAAGCGTTGAATAATTTTGCTCGGAACTCAGATGCAAAAAATACCAATGCTGAGACCGAATTATAAAATCAATCGCTACCTCAACATATGCCCATGCGGAGGGATATTTCAGCAATGTGTGATTGTAATCGGGACTACTTTATAGGTGACACGACACAAAGTTCTAGACAGTGCATTGAAGCATTGGACTTTTTGGACTATTTCGGGGCGTCAGGTTTTGTATCTTATTCAGGGACCCGGAAGTTTCAGAAGACAATGAGATTGCACCAAATAAATTCGATAACAATCACACTGAATATAGACAATTCTAAGAAATATATGCACGATTGATCTACGATGTAGACAGGCATTTGGCTACTCGTCTTGCGATGCACGTTTTTACTTCCACAAACGTCCCTTTTTCGCCATTTCTACACAAGAATAACTTCAGACATGAAGATTTATAAGAATGGTTGGTTTAACAGCTGGGAGTTTGTGCGAGGGTTCGGGAAAGCAAAACTAGACACTGTCTGCAGTAATCTGGGACTGAACTGCGAACCAACCGGTTTGCAGTCTGATCGCACCTCATGGCACATGCGCAACATTTTTCATTCACAACTTCTCACGGCCCGAATAGCTAGAAAAATATTACTACGCGCATGGCATGTCACGCAGTTCTGGATCCAGTTCCTCCGCAAATGAATAAGGAGCACGTCTCGGCAAAAATCCAAAGTCTGGAGTTCCGATTCTGTGGGTGTCTTCAGTCAGACTCACTTTTCCACATCAAACGAAGATACCGTTAGTTGCCTTGTCTTTCCTTTAAGTGCGGACACATCACCCCCCACCATCATTTCAGGCCTGGTTCGGTAATGGCGGATTGTTTAACGGGTGCAATTTACCAATTTGAGACACGACTAAAAACCTTCTGTTGTTGAGACTAGGTGCCTCCGGTGCCAAGTAAACATGGCTGTATGTACTTTCAGGAAACATATTTGCAACAGTTAGATTAAAGTTTTGCTTCACTTGACATACGAGAGCTCATGCAGTCATCTTTTCTCTCAAAGATTGGTTAAATGTGTTTGCTGAATGTATTACAAACAGTTTGTGTAAACACCACTTTGAACAGTATTTCATTATATGTCATTGTGAGAGTCTAATGGGGCTTGCTGGCACTGGTCGCCAGGTTGTCTAAGTCGGTTCATGGGTTCGAACCCCGTTCATGTGTCCCTTGGGTTGTAAACACTATACGTCCATTTGACCTTATCACACCACTCAACACCAAACAGTACAGCCACCACACCACACCAACCTCTACATCACACCAACCTCTACACCAACCTCTACTTCATCCTCTACACCAGCTACTACACCACATCAACCTCTACATCACACCAACCTCTACTTCATCCTCTACACAAAACAGTACAACCACCACACCACACCAACCTCTACATCACACCAACCTTTACTTCATCCTCTACACCAAACAGTACAGCCACCACACCACACCAACCTCTACATCACACCAACCTCTACATCACACCAACCTCTACATTCATCCACACCACCCTCTACTTCATCCTCTTCACCAAACAGTACAGCCACCACACCACACCAACCTCTACATCACACCAACCTCTACATCACACAACTCAACGCCAAACAGTACAGCCACCACACCACACCAACCTCTACATCAACCTCTACATCACACCACTCAACGCCAAACAGTACAGCCACCACACCACACCAACCTCTACATCACACCACTCAACGCCAAACAGTACAGCCACCACACCACACCAACCTCTACATCACACCAACCTCTACACCACTCCAATCTCTACACCAACCTCTACATCACACCAACCTTTACTTCATCCTCTAAACGGGGGCCGTGGGGTAGTCTAGTGGTTAAAGCGTTGGCCCGTCACGCCGAAGACCCGGGTTCGAATCCCCACATGGGTACAATAAGCCCAACTACACAACTACACCACATCAACCTGTACCCGCGATCATAGCGCAGTGACGATAACAACTCCCCTTCTTTAACACTGACTTACGCCAGTCGTATCACTGACCTCGTTGTGGAGCATGGTGCCCTTGTACAAAACAACCTTAGCGCTAAGACTACGTTAAGTCTATGTCTAAGGTATTGAAGTTACGGTCACCTTAACGATAAGATCATTTTGTACAACAACACCCAGATGGTTGGCGTGGCAGGTGTACATGCTTACCCCCATAGTTCACCAATATACACCAATATCATGGCAGGGAATACCCAAATAGTCTTCACGTACTGTAACCATGTGTGGAATCGAACCCAGCACTTCTACGTGACGAGCAAACGCTTTATCCAAAACGCTTCCCCACCGCTCTTTCACCCATGAGTTCATCAGCTAGAGGGGCGGCGGGGTAGTCTAGTGGTTAAAGCGTTGGCTCGTCACGCCGAAGACCCGGGTTCGAATCCCCACATGGGTACAATGAGTGAAGCCCATTTCTGGTGTCCCCCGCCGTGATATTGCTGGAATATTGCTAAAAGCGGCGTAAAACCAAACTCAGTCAGTCAGTCAGTCATCAGCTAGAAGAGTGTTAAGAGCTTCATACAATATTACTCACTCACTCCACTAGACACACAATGAATGAATGAGATAAAACTAAATCTTTTATTACAAATCACGGTCAAGTATTAAGGGGCGACATAATACGACAGCAGTCTACAAAATACCGTTACAGAACACGGAAATAAGATTTAAAACATCACACATGGCTATACTGAATGTTTAAATTGAGGTAGAAAAAACCTACAGATCACTTAGAAAATATATGTGGTCAAAAGAAACTACTATTTGCAACGACACGGTAAATCTACAAGACAGGCTGGTATTTCATGAAGAGGAATCAAAACAACAGGACAACCGCCAGATAACGGTTAACACAGATCGTGTTTTTGTTATGTCGTAAAATACCTGATGGACATTTTGATCATTATGGGATAGAATTACAGTGCCGTTACTGACGTCATCGGTGATCGACAATAGCATTTAAATCGCGTTAATACACATTGATTTGGTCGTTAATGAGTGAAATGTCAGTAATTCCAAAAACGTTTAAATTACAGGTGACTGGAAAAGTGACTAAAACAATCAATCAAAACGTTCACCTACTAAACTAAACGGGAACGTCGTCAGGTCAAAATGGCAGTTCTCGTCGTTTGGTGTCAGGTCATGCAGAATCCCTTTTATCTATTAACTCTAATTTTACGATGTGGATAAATCTAGAATTAATTATTTTCACAAACATAATTTCCCAATTTTATTCAATTCAGTAAATTCAACGTTTAGATTAGATATGAAAAACGTATGACGATTGTTAAGGATTGTCTCCCTTGAATATCTGCATACTTTCACCATCGGTCACACATAATTTGATCACTAGCTAATTGTTTTTGTTAAATTAACATTTAAAAACACACAGTCTGAAATATGATTGTGAGACGTACAGTGAAGGGGGCGTCATTTCATAAGCGCACTGACCCGTGACTGAGCTACAGGTAGATTATATACTCAGCTGTCCCCAGCAAAACTATTCGGATTTAGTGTGCCAACAGCTCTTTAGTCACACGGAATCTCGAGACAAGAAAAAACGACTCTTCCAGTTTATATATCAATACACACAACACAAAGACAGAGCCACAAACCCAATGGTGTTCACCGGGGATTCCCTCCATATATTGAAAGTATATGTAATTAAAACGCATTTCGGACAAGCAAGTTCCTCTGATTTAATCCTCGAAGTTGCGTCTTTGGTCACGTGTTTATAAAATAAATATTTAATTAGGGAAGTATTAAAATTAAACACACCCGCAGTTGCCGTCAACCAAATTTGGGATGGTTCTCCGGACAATTACGTTTATCCTTTTATAGTAGACTACGGTCAGTGGCTCAGAAGAAGTAGGTCGACACGCCACTTCCTGATTGGTCGAATTACGACCACGTGACGCTTGATTTGAGGTCACGACATGCGGAGTGGACGTAACGCATCTGCCGTCACATGTTGACGTTGTAAAGCCCGGGGGATACAATATCCAGTTATCCCATCCTATCTCTCGAAAATCGACGTACATTTGTCTGGTGCAACAGTGTGAAACGTTGGCGGATGAGCAGTCGTCAAGGTTACGTCGAGGTCGCGTGGAAACCTGGGGTTTCGTGTACACCACGAGGAAAGGTCGCGTGTGGCTTAGACGTCGCTTTTTGGATTTCCGCCGTTTCCCGATTTTGTTTTTCTTGGCGTTTTTCTTGTAGAGAAGATCAAGACTCAAACTCTGTTTACACCTTTTACATGTCACCTTCAGTAAAATTGTCTTATTTCCGGAATTCAAGTCTCGCTCCACGGATGACTGCGGTATGTGTAGTTTCAGCCATTTTGTTTTCCTAATGCTGGCCTTGAGAAGGGTGACCCTGCGGAAGCGCTTCCGCTTCCGGTCAAAGTGTCGAATCAGCAGTTTTATTTTCCTCTGTGAATTGTTTTTCTTCCTGGATTTGTTAGACTTCGGAGGCTTCTCGCTGCCATCGGACTTCTTCGTTTTTATTCGAATAAATAGGCTTGCACTTTTCACCTCGATGGGAGAGCCGTTCCCGTTGCCGTTTAACTGGAACTGGAGTGTGTTCTTGTCTTCCAGCGATTCTGAAACGAGATCAAGATATTCAACCTTCGTGAACAAGAACTGAATATAATTGTCCGCTGATCTATGTCCACAAGTGGCCTGACCCAATGTTCACAGCAAATAATCTATTGTCATAAATCGGAACATATTTAACGGTTCATATTAGTGACTAGCACTTACTACTACATCAACAATGATGATAATGATGAGTACACTACAACAACAATGTGCTTAACTCCATACTCGTCTATTCTCAAGGTATTTGCCGTGATGCTGCTGGAATATTGCTAAAAACTCACTCACTCACTCAAAATATATTTTCTAACCCCGTCAATAGACTCTCATTGTCATTTCCGTTCCCTGCCGACATGACAGGTCAAGAGAGACATTGAAATCTCATCCTACCGGGTACCCATTTATTGCTGGGTGAACAAAGCCACTTGCCCAAGGAAACACCACATGAAACACGTCCTTTCAGTGTGGGTCCATACTTGTGTATGCTCAAAGTAAAATTCCTAACACGGTCAATAAGTCAGCGCGTAATAGACTTTCATTGTCATTTCCCTTAAGAGTATGCAACCAAACCTGCCTTTAAGGCGATAGAAGGTGAACAGACTGAAATCCCGTCCTACCGGGTACCCATTTACAGCTGGGTGAACAAAGTTACTGGACCAAGGAAACACCACATGTAAAATGTGCTTTCAGTGTGGGTCAGGGCAACAGCGAAACAATCAGGAGGCAAACCTTTGAACACGTCACCCATCCACCTACCCTCCACCGCCAGCGTTCTGGAACTTCACTGGCGCAATAGTGCAGTGGTAAGGCGTCTGCCTATCACGCTGAAGGTTCGATCCCCGGTGGAGGCATCTAGGTTCGGGTCCCGAGGTGGGCACATTTGCGTGGTATCCTTGGACAAGATACTTAGATCCACATAGTCTCTGTTCACCCAGCTGCAAAATGGGTACCCGTGAGGATGTGCTGGCAATGTGAGTGTTTAGTTCATTGCGCCTAACAGGCAGCATGGTTGTATGATCCCCAGGTGGTTGAAAAAGTATCGGAAAGTACGATAGTGTCCTATGACCGGGGATAGTAATGTACGTAGCGCCGTGAGCAGGCAATGTGCCTAGATATGAGCGCCATATAAACGGACTATTACTATTACTAAAGTCTGTTTGCAGTGAAAACGTACCGATGAATTTCACTTTAAACAAAAAACTAAATCAAATTAAGTGAAATTAAGATTGCGAATCCTCATGATTTTACCTTGCCAAATGAACATTTAAATCTCCAAATTTTATTCAACTTAGGATAAAGTTGTTTAACAAACGATCATAGATTCAAATCGCTATTATTGGTTTGTATTACAAGGGGGTAAGCGCAGTAGATGGAACAGTGAAACAAAGGCACGTGCGGTACGTGATGAGCGTTAACTTAGACCAGCCCTACTTGTTCTCGGTGTTTCATCTAATGTGCCTACCCCATTGTAATACAAACCAATAATAACGATTTGAAACGATGATCGTTTGTTAAACAACCTTTTTCCTAAGTTGAATAAAATTCTGAGATTTGAATGTTCAGTTGGCAAGGTAAAATTATATGGATTCGCAATCTTAATTTCGCTTTAATCGATTTACTTTTTTATTTAGAGTTAAATTCATCGGTACGTTTTCACTGCAAACAGACTATAGTGCATTGCGAGAAGTCCATTAAGTTCCAGTCTTACCAAAAAATAATCGTATATATGCATCCGTATCCTGAAACTGGAACTTGAAACTGTGTCGCGGTTATCACAAGGAATGCAAAATATATAGATTATTATCATGAAGCCTTAATAAATCTGGAAGAATCATAAACATAACCACGAGATTGGACTTTGTCAAGACAAGATACTCCCCCGCCGAGGAATTCGGTATACTAGGCGGTAAGAGTATTAAGGGAATATTCTGAGTGATGACTTGACATAAACAGGTGACCTTATCATAGCACTGTCGAGTTCCTTCAGTCACTAATTTACTGAATGACCCGAATTGTAAACGGTCAAATTTAGTTTCTTGGTGACGTATAGCATCTGTAAACATACGTAGATATCTGACGCTCGGAGTTTTCGGGGAAGAATAGAGTCTGGAAGTTTATGTTACAGCTAAAACACCACCTTGAGATTTTCGTTGATAAATGTTTAGTTAGGAAAATATAAAGTCTCAAATCTTTGGACCTAAACCGAGGCGGAGAATTTTAACTAACTTGATCTAATTTTTAAAAAAGAAGATAAAGAATGAGGAAACATCAGGATACTATACCCCTTTTGGGTACTAAAATTTACAATTATCATTATTATATAAATACCATTTTTGTTGTAACTGTGACAATGTCCCTATTTCTAATGGAAAAAAGTAAAACATCTCAGTAGGTCTTATAACTGAAACGTACAACCTCGCAGTAGGTCTTATAACTGAAACGTACAACCTCGCAGTAGGTCTTACAACTGAAACGTACAACCTCTCAGTAGGTCTTAAAATTGAAACGTAAAACCTCTCAGTAGATCTTACAACTGAAACGAAAAACCTCTCAGTAGGTCTTACACCTGAAACGTAAAACCTCTCGGTAGGTCTTAAAACTGAAACGTAAAACCTCTCAGTTGGTCTTACAACTGAAACGTAAAACCTTTTAGTAGGTCTTAACACTGAAACGTAAAACCTCTCAGTAGGTCTTACAACTGAAACGTAAAACCTCTCAGTAGGTCGTACAGCTGAAATGTACAACCTCTCAGTAGGTCGTACAGCTGAAACGTAAACCTCTCAGTAGGTCGTACAGCTGAAATGTACAACCTCGCAGTAGGTCTTAAAACTGAAACGTAAAACCTCTCAGTAGGTCTTAAAACTGAAGCGTACAACCTGTCAGAGGCATCAGATAAAATCCTAAGGAAAGCACACTGATTTCGTATTTTTTATGAGATCGAAAGAACTGTTGGTAAATTTGCTAATGCCTATTTAACTCATTGTTGCAACATTTTGTAAAATGATGTCCGTGGCTGGGTAATTTAAGTGTAAGAACAAATGTGAATGAATGAATGAATGAATGAATGAATGAATGAATAAATGAATATTGACCTCGACCATCTTTGAAATATATATCTGAATCAGAAAATGCCAATGTATTCAGTTTCAAAGGCTTTTCTCAACAGGTTGTACCCATCGGCAGCAGTGAATCATGCAAGTTGTTTTGCTCAGTGTTTATAGGCTTTAAGTCAAATATATTTCAAACAATGACGTCGAAGTATAAACCATGTGCAAGTCTCCTTCGTGTGTCCACTCAGCATCATGACTGTTCACTGGATACATCGCAAAAACTCGTACACAAACACAAAACACAATCCAGACAGATATCGTACACAGACACCAGGAACAATTCAGACAGATGTTGTACAGACACCAGGGACAATCGAGACAGATGTTGTACAGACACCAGGGACAATACAGAGAGATGTTGTACAGACACCAGGGACAATACAGACAGATGTTGTACAGACACCAGGGACAATACAGACAGATGTTGTACACAGACACCAGGAACAATACAGACAGATGTTGTACACAGACACCAGGAACAATACAGACAGATATTGTACACAGACACCAGGGACAATCCAGACAGATGTTGTACACAGACACCAGGGACAATACAGACAGATGTTGTACACAGACACCAGGGACAATACAGACAGATATTGTACACAGACACCAGGGACAATCCAGACAGATGTTGTACACAAACACCAGGGACAATACAGACAGATGTTGTACACAGACACCAGGGACAATACAGACAGATATTGTACACAGACACCAGGGACAATACAGACAGATCTTGTACAGACACCAGGGACAATCCAGACAGATGTTGTACAGACACCAGGGACAATACAGACAGATATTGTATACAGACACCAGGAACAATACAGACAGATGTTGTACACAGACACCAGGGACAATACAGACAGATGTTGTACCAGACATCAGGGACAATCCAGACAGATGTTGTACAGACACCAGGGACAATACAGACAGATATTGTATACAGACACCAGGAACAATACAGACAGATGTTGTACACAGACACCAGTGACAATCCAGACAGATGTTGTATACAGACACCAGGGACAATACAGACGGATATCGTACACAGACACCAGGAACAATAAAGACAGACATCGTACACAGACACCAGGGACAATACAGACAGATGTTGTACCAGACATCAGGGACAATCCAGACAGATGTTGTACAGACACCAGGGACAATCCAGACAGATGTTGTACACAGACACCAGGGACAATCCAGACAGATGTTGTACAGACACGAGGGATAATGCAGACAGATATCGTACACAGACACCAGAAACAATACAGACAGATGTTGTACACAGACACCAGGGACAATACAGACAGATGTTGTACACAGACACCAGGAACAATACAGACAGATGTTGTACACAGACACCAGGAACAATACAGACATATGTTGTACACAGACACCAGGGACAATACAGACAGACATCGTACACATACACCAGGAACAATACAGACAGATGTTGTACAGACACTAGGGACAAGCCAGACAGATGTTGTATACAGACACCAGGGACAATACAGACAGACATCGTACACAGACACCAGGAACAATACAGACAGATGTTGTACAGACACCAGGGACAATACAGACAGATATTGTACAGACACCAGGGACAATCCATACAGATGTTGTACACAGACACCAGGGACAATCCAGACAGATGTTGTACACAGACACCAGGGACAATTAAGACAGATAATGTACAGACACCAGGGACAATCCAGACAGATGTTGTACACAAACACCAGGGACAATACAGACAGATGTTGTACAGACACCAGGGACAATCCAGACAGATATTGTACACAGACACCAGGGACAATCCAGGCAGACATCGTACACAGACACCAGGGACAATCCAGACAGATATCGCACACAGACACCAGGGGCAATACAGACAGACATCGTACACAGACACCAGGAACAATACAGACAGATGTTGTACAGACACCAGGGACAATACAGACATATATTGTACAGACACCAGGGACAATCCATACAGATGTTGTACACAGACACCAGGGACAATACAGACAGATGTTGTACACAGACACCAGGGACAATTAAGACAGATAATGTACAGACACCAGGGACAATCCAGACAGATGTTGTACACAAACACCAGGGACAATACAGACAGATGTTGTACAGACACCAGGGACAATACAGACAGATATTGTACACAGACACCAGGGACAATACAGGCAGACATCGTACACAGACACCAGGGACAATCCAGACAGATATCGTACACAGACACCAGGGACAATCCAGACAGACATCGTACACAGACACCAGGGACAATCCAGACAGATATCGTACACAGACACCAGGGACAATCCATACAGATGTTGTACACAGACACCAGGGACAATACAGACAGATGTTGTACACAGACACCAGGGACAATCCAGACAGATATCGTACACAGACACCAGGGACAATCCAGACAGACATCGTACACAGACACCAGGGACAATCCAGACAGACATCGTACACAGACACCAGGGACAATCCAGACAGATATCGTACACAGACACCAGGGACAATACAGACAGATGTTGTACACAGACACCAGGGGCAATACATTTGCACCAAGAGTTGACTTGGCTTCCGTAACGTACATGTCTTTGGAAGACTTATGTTATGTTAACATACTTCATTCTGTCTAGTTGAATTAAACTATCATGAGAGGTGGTTACACGAAAATATGAAACAAATATCATAAAACAATAGAAGATGGTTATTCTGTGAGATAAACTGGCTCTACATAGTATGCACATGCAGCGGAAACAGCCGACTATGTCCGAGTGTTTCTGAGTGTAATGCAAGGGGACGCACAGGTTATGCAGACGGTGTCATTTCGTGAGTGAGTAGGTTTAATTTAGCGCCGCTTTGAACAGGTGAGGTGGGTGAGGTGAGCTGAGGTGAAATTGGGTTTAACGTCGCGCTGGAGAATATTTCGCTCATATGACGACGTGCATGCGTGTGCATGTGTATGTGCGGCTGCTTGTACGAGTGTTGGGAAGTGGTTAAAATCTCATAATTGATGACTGGTTCATTACAACCGATCAATCATCGAAAATAATTGGTTAGCGTCATTTATGAAATTTGTTAATGCACATAAAAATAAGGGAAAAAACATGTAGTTCTTTTGGGGCTTTTTGGCAAAATTTCACATCTTTAAAGGATGACTAGTATGTTAGAAACATAAATTCCTTGGAGCCTTTAAGATAAATTCAATCATGACTTGAAACGAGCTTGTAGTGCTTACAAAATGTAACAGACAAAACCAACCATGTGAAAAATATTGTTAATGAAAACAAGTGTTCCAAAATTGGTTGTGTTCGATTATGAGAAATTATGATCGATTGCTTGGTCGTTTAGTCACTACGACCAAGCTTCGATTATTTCAATTAATCGGACCACCACTAGCTTGTACTAGCCCAGACTTAAGCTGGTTTTATAGTGCTAGCCCACTGAGATACTATGCCGCAGTGAAGCATGAATACCCCACTCAGACACATTATACTGACTCCGAGCCGACCAGTCCTTGCTGTACCCATTAAAGCCGAGCGCCAGGCAGGGACCAACAAGTACCATATTTTAACGTCTTTTGTAATGACGCGGTCGGGGATCGAACCCGCGACCTTCCGCTCTCCGGGCGGACCATAATATTTAGGAGAATAGGTGGTAATGTAAAGCGCCGCAATTCGAGTTGCGCCACTTGTATCCTATTCACGTGGGTTCGAATCCCCGTTTTTCCCAAACGTGTTTATAAGTTTGTCATCACCATACCCGTGAAGTGGCAAACGTCTGAGAGTCTCAGTGCTTTGAGTCACCCCAACCCCAGTCACATGTTCACAGACAAAAAGGACTTGTCAAGTTGTCATTACACTTTACCTTTTTATACAGTTTTGGTTGGTTGTTGTTTAACGCCGCACTCAGCAATATTCCAGCTATATGGCAGCGGTCTGTAAATAATCGAGTCTGGACCAGACAGTCCAGTGATCAACAGCATGAGCATCGATGGGATACGATGACTTATCAACCAAGTCAGCGAGCCTGACCACCCGATCCTGTTGGTCGTCTCTTACGACAAGCATGGGTTGCTGAAAACCAATTCTAACCCGGATCTTCGCTCGTTGTTGTGAGTGAGTATGGTTTTACGCCGCCTTTAGCAAATATTCCAGCAATATCACGGCGTTGACACCAGAAACGGGATTCACACATTGTATGCATGTGGGGAATCGAACCCGGGTCTTCAAGGGTTGGTCTACTGAAACAATACGGGTCTTCACGGGTCTTTTCATACAGAGCAACAAGGGACACACTTGGGTCGTCTAAGGCGCAACAATTAGCTGTACGTAGTTGTGTCCCTTGGAAACACCTGGATCCTATGATCTTGGGTTCGAATCAAGGTTTCTCTCTAAATGTGTTTCAAGGTTTGTCAGCACCAAACCCATGCTTGTGGGTTTCACCAAAATGGTAAGCATCACTTCGGTCTTTTCTCCCACATAAAACGGACACTCTACGACAGAATACTCTTAAAAGCGGCGTAAAATGCCATATTCACAAATGAATAATATAATAACAATCATCATACTTACTAGCTGGTTCCGAAAACAAGATGACAGCTAAATGTTCCGGATATTCAAAGTTTGGGTTCTGTCCGGGCATAACCGCTTTGTGGAGTTGTGACAGAGCCTTCTGCACCGTGGGACGAGTTATGCCTTTAGGTAGTGTTGGCACACCGTCAAGGTGAAGGCCATCTAATATTCTGGCCTTGACCTGTTGAAGTTGATGAAGTCGTTTTAAACTTTGGTAACTGATTTCCAGGGCTTCTTCTAAAACTACTGGCCTGGCAACTAGTAACAACACCATCGCAGCTAGCAGGTGGCCTTTAGGCGACCTGTCCATCTCGTCAGGTTAGTCTGAAAAATGAAGTCACAGTGATACTATATGTCCCTGGTAGCTATAAAGATGGGAAACTTTTCATTTTAAATAAATCCTTTCGGCATCTTTCGTCTCTGTGAAAGCTGCTGCGGTTTGTCCTTTAAAGGTAAGGCTTGAATCCAGTTTACAGAGCGACCCGTCGACCTCTCGTCGTCATCACAAGCACCTGAATATATCACCCATCTTGGATGCCAATTGGAACAGATTTTAAAACATTTGCATTTTCGAAAGAATCAAGCACGCTGCCCTGTAATTCACTATTGAGGGCCGTTATCATTTATTCGCTTTCTAGTTGTGAGTGCCTGTGATCATCAATTATATATGACCTCATCGTTGATCCCTCGCTCGTAATAGTGTTACTAGGCGTCTGGTTAATACTATCTGTGCGGCAGGCGACTGTTGACGACGGTTTCAACACGGTGGCCTTGCTCGCTAGCACTGAAGTTTCTGCCGTGAGCGATCACAAGATCAGTGACTCATAGTCGGGGTTGAAATAATTCGATTTCAGTTCCTTGATTCCTGTTTTCATGAATAATGAGTATATTCAGAGAGAAAATCCGATTTTCGATGCAAAATTTCAATTGGAAACTTGTGGGTTGATTACTCACAGAAAGTCAGTTAGCGCCTTGGAGGCGAATGTTTCTTTGTAGAAAACGTTTTTAAACAGCTTGTCACCCTTCAAAGAAAAGAGTTTAAGTTTTTTGTTGCCTGTAGTGTGCTGATTGTTTATAAACTGACAATATTTTTGACGCTGACGTAACAGCAGCGCCCTGTTCTTGAAAATGCTTTAACGTACCGGAGACGTGCATCAATGGAAGCGCGCCTTATTGGAAGAATCGTTTCAAAACTGTAGGAAACTGTATCGCTATGCAGTGACACTATATTAATACAGCATATATTATAACATATCATTTGTACGATATCAAATTTAATTTTCGAACAAAAATATAATCGTGTCGTCAGCAGATATTATTCCATTTATTCAATCTACTATTCATTACGAAATTGATCAATAAAAACTATTGTAAGACATTTCATGACAAATATTTTTATGTGAAGAAGAGCATATATCAAATTCAAGTGTCATAATTTCGAAACTTTTCTAGATAGTGTCAAGAAAACAACAAACAAAATTCAAATCTATTGAATTAATTGAACTAATTATTTCAGACAAAATCTGACTAAGAAATATATCACAAGCATTAGAATATTCTTAAATGTGAAATAAATAAATAATACTTATCATAAATCTTAATCCTAAAAGGAAAATAATTTTTCGCTTACCTTGAATTTTAGAAACGTCGCTCCTGACGAGTCTTGGTACTTGTCGCCATTGCAGCTTATAGTGGCTGCTCTGTGTTCAATCCTGTCAGTTGTTGTCTCTGTGTGTAACGATTCTGAGAAAAGCTACTTGTCTCAGTTGAAATAATATTGCATTGTTTCACAGAAGGAAAAGTTTTAATATCGGACACGGTAGATAAAACGACTCGGCAATATTGGAAGGTAGCCAGATTCAAAATGGCCGTCAGACATCGTCTGCTTGTTTTGTCAAGAGGCCAAAAGGGCGCGAAACAGTGGCGTAGTGATGCCGTTAGATGTAGACAGATGATTGGTTTGGGGGAGATAGACCCGTGTCTGTTGGTTTTCGTATTGTCTGCACAATTCACGCCAACTCAAGGTAGGAAGCTTGGTTAGGCTGGCCATTAATTGGTACGGAGTGGACGTCTGGTCTGAAAATGCCACTTATCAGAAACAGAGGATGAATGTAAGCTTAGCGCTCCACAGAAGGAAAAATGACTTGAGTATTTCTGAACGGTTACTTCATTGTCGTAATAGTAATTTTGATCGGGCACAAAGATTTGTAAGTTCCAAAACATATCAAAGGAGCTGCCCACTGGTGCACGCTCTGACTCGACATACAAGACAACAGGGGTAGTTTCCCACATGTTGGGTGCCCACGTCATCACTGTAATGAAGAACTGATAAACGTTGAGTGTAACATAAGTATTCGTGTTACTTGGACTTTATCTATCTTCTTGTGTTAACAATGTCTGTTCGAGTCAAGATTAAACAAGGCAGCGTACCAAGCTTCCCCAGTTTGACGACGAACCCCTTCTCACACAAACGTCTCTCGCCTCCCCTAACATCGTCCTCTTCTACCCTAACGTCGTCCTCGTCTACCCTAACGTCACCCTCGTCTCCCCTAACGTCGTCCTCGTCAACCCTAATGTCGTCACCCTCGTCTCCCCTAACGTCGTCCTCGTCTCCCCTAACGTCACCCTCGTCTCCCCTAACGTCGTCCACGTCTCCCCTAACGTCGTCCTCGTCTCCCCTAACGTCGTCCTCGTCTCCCCTAGCGTCGTCCTCGTCTCCCCTAACGTCGTCACTCGTCTCCCCTAACGTCGTCCTCGTCTACCCTAACGTCGTCCTCGTCTCCCCTAACGTCGTCCTCGTCTCCCCTAACATCATCCTCGTGTCCCCTAATGTCGTCCTCGTCTACCCTAACGTCGTCCTCGTCAACCCTAAACGTCGTCCTCGTCTCCCCTAACGTCGTCACTCGTCTCCCCTAACGTCGTCTCGTCTACCCTAACGCCGTCCTCGTCTCCCCTAACGTCGTCACTCGTCTCCCCTAACATCATCCTCGTCTCCCCTAATGTCGTCCTCGTCTACCCTAACGTCGTCCTCGTCTCCCCTAACGTCGTCCTCGTCTCCCCTAACGTCGTCCTCGTCTCCCCTAGCGTCGTCCTCGTCTCCCCTAACGTCGTCCTCGTCTACCCTAACGTCGCCCTCGTCTCCCCTAACGTCGTCCTCGTCTCCCCTAACGTCGTCCTCGTCTCCCCTAACGTCGTCCTCGTCTACCCTAACGTCGTCACCCTCGTCTCCCCTAACGTCGTCCTCGTCTCCCCTAACGTCGTCCTCGTCTCCCCTAACGTCATCCTCGTCTACCCTAACGTCGTCCTCGTCTCCCCTAATATCGTCCACAAGCGTCGCCCTTTCATTGGAGTTGACTTCTCACACAAGGGAAATCATTTTCCTACTAACGATGTCGTCTTTTCGACCACAACGTCACCTAACAGGACGACGATCCCTTTTACACAAACGACGTCACCATCGACAGCAAATATTAGCCCAGAAACGCCGTGTGTAAATAATAAAGAAGTTGCACATCCATATCAAGTGTGTTGTATTACCCTACCAACTTCTAAATGCCCACCAAATATCTGACAGCAACCTCCCCATTCACATCAAAATAACAAGCAGATATTCTTAGGAAACTGATAAGAAGAATGTGTTCTTGCGGAAAGAACAACTAATATGTTATTGTTCAAAAATAACAAATATATGTTCTTGTTGAAAGAATAATAAAGAGATGTTCTTGTGGAATTAATAAAAAGGATATGTTTTTAGACGGTGAATTGACAATAACTTCTTTGATTCGCCTTTAGAAGTTGGAGTACTAACTAAGGATTGGATATGTGGATGGACAACTTCTTTATCATAACATGAACGAGGTTCTAACAACGTTGTTAAGACGAATATATATGGATGAACAACGTCATTATTAGCCGCGCCGTTTCGGTGTCGGTTCTATATCTACTGATGACCATGTTCGAACCTACACGGAAAAGACTCACCTAATGTAATAGAGAAGATGTTTATCCATATATCTCACCCTTACCAAGTAACACACCGATGTTCATGTGGAATAATAGCCTTCCCCTAGGCTGTACTGAATGCTAAGCCATGGATGTATAGTAATTCAATCCCAGATAAGCGGACAGTCTAAGGACGCCAAGCTATAATTTATTTTTTCCAGAAATTATCATTTAAACTATCAGTTAGACACTTGTACAAGTCTAGTGGAATAACTAACACGTAGGTGTTCCTTCAGACTTGATAAAAAGGTGTTAAAGAGAATAACAAGAAGATGTTCCTGTGTAACGCATAACAAGTATAGGGTTTTCGGGATTGATAACAAGTTGCTGCTCTTGTGAACAGCAAGGGCATAGTTGCATGGAACAGAACATAAATACATTCTATTTCGGAATAAATATCAAGAACAGGTTTTTATAGAATCAATAAAAAGATTTTTATTGAAAGCTTATTGAAAGAATAACATGTAGATATTGTTGCTAGATGAATAACATGTAGATATTGTAGAATAACATGTAGATATTGTTGTAGATAGATGAATAACATGTAGATGTTGTTGCTGTTAACATGTAGATGAATGAATAACATGTAGATATTGTTGCTAGATGAATAACAAATAGATGTTGTTGCTAGATGAATAACATGTAGATATTGTTGCTAGATGAATAACATGTAGATATTGTTGCTAGATGAATAACATGTAGATATTGTTGCTAGATGAATAACATGTAGATGTTCCTGTTGCTAGATGAATAACATGTAGATATTGTTGCTAGATGACTAACATGTAGATATTGTTGCTAGATGAATAACAAATAGATATTGTTGCTAGATGAATAACATGTAGATATTGTTGCTAGATGAATAACATGTAGATATTGTTGCCAGATGAATAACATGTAGATATTGTTGCCAGATGAATAACATGTAGATATTGTTGCTAGATGAATAACATGTAGATATTGTTGCTAGATGAATAACATGTAGATATTGTTGCTAGACTGACTGACTGACTGAGTTTAGTTTTACGCCGCTTTTAGCAATATTCCAGCAATATCACGGCGGAGGACACCAGAAATGGGCTTAACACATTGTGCCCATGTGGGGAATCGAACCCGGGTCTTCAGCGTGACGAGCCAACGCTTTAACCACTAGGCTACCCCACCGCCAGATGAATAACATGTAGATATTGTTGCTAGATGAATAACATGTAGATATTGTTGCCAGATGAATAACATGTAGATGTTCCTGTTGAAGGGATAAGCAATAGATATTGTTGTTGGCTGAGTGAGTGAGTGAGTGAGTAGATGTTCTTGATGGCTGAATAGCAAGTACATGTGTTTGTTGGTTGAATAGCAAGTAGATGTTTTGTTGGTTGAAAAGCAAGTAGATGTTCTTGATGGCTGAATAGAAAGAACATATGTTTGTTGGTTGCATAGCAAGTAGATGTTTTGTTGGCTGAATAGCCAGTAGATGTTCTTGATGGCTGAATAGCAAGTACATGTGTTTGTTGGTTGAATAGCCAGTAAATGTTCTTGATGGCTGAATAGCAAGTACATGTGTTTTGTTGGCTGAATAGCCAGTAGATGTTCTTGATGGCTGAATAGCAAGTACATGTGTTTGTTGGTTGAATAGCCAGTAAATGTTCTTGATGGCTGAATAGCAAGTACATGTGTTTTGTTGGCTGAATAGCCAGTAGATGTTCTTGATGGCTGAATAGCAAGTACATGTGTTTTGTTGGCTGAATAGCAAGTAGATGTTCTTGATGACTGAATAACAAGTACATGTGTTTGTTGGTTGAATAGCAAGTAGATGTTTTGTTGGCTGAATAGCCAGTAGATGTTCTTGATGGCTGAATAACAAGTACATGTGTTTGTTGGTTGAATAGCAAGTAGATGTTTTGTTGGCTGAATAGCCAGTAGATGTTCTTGATGACTGAATAACAAGTACATGTGTTTGTTGGCTGAATAGCCAGTAGATGTTCTTGATGACTGAATAACAAGTAGATGTTTTGTTGGTTGAATAGCAAATAGATGTTCTTGATGGCTGAATAGCCAGTAGATGTTCTTGATGGCTGAATAGCCAGTAGATGTTCTTGATGACTGAATAACAAGTACATGTGTTTGTTGGTTGAATAGCAAGTAGATGTTTTGTTGGCTGAATAACAAGTACATGTGTTTGTTGGCTGAATAGCCAGTAGATGTTCTTGATGACTGAATAACAAGTAGATGTTTTGTTGGTTGAATAGCAAATAGATGTTTTGTTGGCTGAATAGCCAGTAGATGTTCTTGATGACTGAATAACAAGTAGATGTTTTGTTGGTTGAATAGCAAATAGATGTTTTGTTGGCTGAATAGCAAGCAGGTGTTCTTGGTGGCTGAATAGCAAGCAGATGTTCTTGATGGATGAATAGCAAGTAGATGTTCTTGGTGGCTGAATAGCAAGCAGATGTTCTTGGTGGCTGAATAGCAAACAAATGATGTAGAGGTTCTTGGAGGAAAAATAGATTTTCTTGTTTAAGGAATAAGATGTTCTCATCTAATGAATAACAAGAATGGATAAGAAATACACTACCGGGCAAAAGAAAGTTCACACACAAACTTCACTTGACCATAAAATAGAATTATAGACGTATACGAGATTTATGATAATTTGTTTACAAACAGAAATCATTTTCCGATAATTTGACTGAAAATTCACTCTAATGCTGGTCTTACATTTGCCGCAAATCATTAAGAAAGAGTCAAGGGGTCAAAATTAAAAATTACACAAATCAGAGTTCATTCAAAAAGCCCATAAAGAGTCACATAATGAGACAGGAGTCAGAGGACTCGTCATCAATAGCGTTGACCACCATGGTCATTCATACACGCCAACACACGTCTCCTCATTGACGTCCATAAGTCCAAGAGAGTCTGTTCATGTTCCTGTCGGTTCGCTGGAGGTTGTACATGCTGTCTCGGCTGAGGATCAAAATGATCCCAGAGATGTTCAATGGTGTTCATGTCTGGAGAACGCGCTGGCCAGGGCAATACGTTGACGTTAACGTTGTGCAGGTATTGTCGAACAATTCTGGCGGTGTGAGGCCTAGCGTTGTCGTGCAGCAAAATGACTCCTCTTGATTGTTGTCGAATTAAAGACCACAAAAGGTCTCAACACTTCATCCCTATCGCTGGGCATTCAGATTTCCTCGGATGATAACAAGTCTTGTTCTCTGGCCACAAATGGCTTCCCATACCATGACGCCTTCTCCATCTAACGGATGAACGTCTTGAACGCAGTTTGGCGCCAGTCGCTTTCCTCAAAGTCGAAAAGCTGCCATCGTTTCTGAACAGAATGAACCGACTTTCATCTGTAAAGAACCACCGACGTACAGTTCGTGTACAATGCAGTCTGTGTTGACGGTGTAGACGGGTCAAGGCCATTCCACGGAAGGGACGGAAGGCTCGTAAACCAGCCATACCAAGTCGTCGAAGGACTGTTCGTCTGCTGATGGCGTGTCCTGTCGCCGTCGCCGTCACGAATCTGTTCTGGGGGTAGATCTGCCGGATGTAGCGATCTTTGACCGCTGTCGTGACTCTTGGTCTTTCCAATCTCGGGCGGTCTTGGGTCTGGGCTACGGTCTGGGCTACGCTGGTAGCGGTTTATCCATTTGCTGATGGTGGCCTGGATACAGTTACAAGCTACGTAGTGTAGTTCCCATATTGGCTACGATCGCCCTGCCTCGTTGCGCTTGCGGAAGTCTTGGCATATTCGTGGTGGTTTTTTGGTAACTGCATGCTTGATCTGTCCAACATCGGTATTTATGCCAGAAATCATGCATGTGCATTTGGACAAATGTCCCACAATTACGTTATTTTTAAAAATCCACGATTCGTACAAAGTTTTCGGACAGCTGCGTTGTTTTCGGGACCATGTTGCGTTTTGGCGAATGTTTTCTTCTTGGGTCCAAATCTGTACCAGCGTTTTTGTTTTTTATACAATTTCTTTAAAAGTGATAACTTTCTTTTGCCCGGTAGTGTAGATGCTTTTACAGAATGAATAAAGCACTCTTAGAAAACGCATAACACGTAGACGTTCCTTCGCTCAGAAAGTGAAATCGGTTAGCTTCAAAACCAAACCAGAATGAAATAATTCAAGTTTCGTTTGAGAAACCTCAAGGAAACATTAGCCAGTCCGTTGCTTCTTGCGTAACTGTTTGGCAGTAACATATCTGCTGATGTTGCAGTCAGTATTAGGGATACAAACCCTGAGTTTAATTGCTCCAAATGAACGGATGTACGTCTGTGAAGAAATAAATTACACGCACGTACAGAGTAGGCAACGTTCACACGTGTGGACCCTCAGTTCCACGCGAGTAGTAAACTCTAGTGGCACTCACTACGAGCATATGTCTTCGCCTATTCCTGCGAATTCCGTACTCTCGGGACCAACTGACACAGCCTTCCTCAGAGTTACCGGGAACGCGAGTGGCTCAGTGTCGTCGCAGTTCGCTGAGCCTGTTTCTATGATCATAGGTTCGAATCCCCGATTCTCCCCTATACGTGTTTGGTTAGTCTGTCTCACTGTCCCCGAACCTCAGTACCTTCCCTTCTGTCGAGCCCTTTCTGTTATGCTAAGGTAAGGCCTTAAATGAAGCAAGTCCAGATTTCCTCAGCTCACAGTCCCCGAACCTCAGTACCTTCCCTTCTGTCGAGCCCTTTCTGTTATGCTAAGGTAAGGCCTTGAATGAAGCAAGTCCAGATTTCCTCAGCTCACAGTCCCCGAACCTCAGTACCTTCCCTTCTGTCGAGCCCTTTCTGTAATGCTAAGGTAAGGCCTTGAATGAAGCAAGTCCAGATTGGGGGCTGATTTATGAAATGTATTGAAAATCAAAATGAAATTGTAGTTATGGTAAACTGGAATAGGTATAAATAAAACAGGGACAACACACAGTCACAACTCGTTCAGTGACAGCTGTGTAAAAACTCCTCGTTTATTCAATCAGGTGTTTATATTAACCGTAGTTTGGCTAAGGAGGTTTTTTTAAGACTATATTTCTGTTAAT